TTGCTGAACTGCAATTTTGATTTCACCTTTTTTTTTTTCAACCTTAAAGCGGTCGCAGCATGCCACGGCAAAACTTAGTGGTTCCTGATCGAGTGCAAGAAGCGAAGATTGCCTAAACACGAGTCTTTATCCGTTTCGGTGAGATTCTCTCGTCTTTCCGCTTCAAATCTCTTCACTTCTTGTGCTGACAGCCAAGCTGCTTTTTTCAGCTTCACCCAACGACTCTTCTCCTTTTTGTCTTTCCCCGTTCACATTCTAGTTTTAAACGTAGACAGACAGCAAAGATCTCCGCGTGCAACTAAAATGAGGAGATGTTTCAGGGACCAGGAGTCCTTTATATTGACATGTTATAACTGGCTATACAACCTTTGGCGAGCTTTAAGAATTCAGTTCGAAAATATCTTTTTCGTAAATAACTCTAGCGCGTTTCAATATTATACAGAAGCTTTTTTTTGGCAATCATAGTTAAAATTATAGTTAAAAAAATTTCAAAAATATTGCGCTTCGAAGGTCTACCGTATCCTTAAGCCTTAAAAAACAATTGTTTTCCAAATCAAATATCCACTAGCGTATTTCTTTGCTCGAAAGGTCTTCCTTAATCGGAATGGAAGAGAAGCTCACTGTTTTCAGAGCAGGAACAAAGAATGGGCCTTCGTTTTCGTTTTCTGGTGACCACAGCGCACGAGGTATGATAATGGTCAGGGCCGTGATAATATGCATGTAAATATATATCTGTGCATGGAAAGTGCCAAAAACGTGAAGAATCATGCAAAGCGTCATCAATGCTTGGACGTGTTTGCTTCATAGATACTAGCAGAAAGATAGCTCAAAGCAAAACAAGAAGATTCAGATAGGTAATTTTGAACCGAGTGAATAATTAGACACTAGTTAGTTCAGTAATTGTTTTGAAGCAACTCCAGCTGCTTTGACGGGATGTATGCACTCAATTGCAAAAACGATGACATGAAAAAAGTGAGCAAGGAACGACGAGACCCAATGACTTTATGAGTACACGATCACCACAATTAGTTGCATGTACATGGCAAATGATTGAAGCCATCAACGCTTTCCTGAAAGAAAAGAATTGCCGTGAAATAAGATTTTCATTAATAGTGAAAAACAAGAGAACATTAACCGTTGATATTTCCTTGCTAGACTCTTGCTAAGCTTCTAGAAATTTTCAAAAACCCCTTCTTTATAGAAACTCTTCTAGATAAAGCGGCTTAATACTCTCCACATCATGAAATTAAAGGTTATAGAAGTATGATGTAAATACAAAAAAAAATTGATATAAAATCGTACAAATTAACCTTCAAGGCCATCTCTCCTCCAGCTTAAAGAGACCCTTCTTATTTGAAATAACCGGTAGGATGGCTACCGAGCCTGATCTGTACTATCCTCTCAATCAAAGAGAAAAAATCGCTGTTCGTCTGTCCAGGGCCGATATTTGGCCAAGTGACTTTGATAAAATAAAGGTGAAAAGCACTTCAAGTACCATGGAATATGCGTTGCTGAAGTGAGTCATTACATGGCAGCAACTTGACTAAAGACGAACAGCATACCCTTAAACGACTGAAAACGACGACGTCATAGTTATTCTTTAATAATAATAACATTATACAACGCTGGTCTTAAAAAGATGTCCAGTAAATAAAAATTTATAATAATATCATTCTAAAATACATATTTCAAAGACGCTAAAAACTGCTAAGATAAGACTACTGAAAACCGTCAATTTAAGAACTACTAAAAACTAGCTTACAATATTAAGGACCACAAAAAACACTTAAATAGACCCTTCTTATGAGAAATAACGTTAGATTTTATTCCAGAAAAGAATGCGGTTGTCCAACAACCTCGTGATGTCTGGATGGTTACCGAGCCTGATCTGTACTATCCTCTCAATCTAAGAGACAAAAACACTGTTCGTCTGTTCAAAGCCGATATTTCGCCGAGTGTCTTTGATGAAATAAAGGTGCAAAAGCATTTCAAGTTCCATGGAATATGCGTTGCTGAAGTGAGTTGTATGGAGGCCTCAGTACCTCCGTTATATTAAGTAAATAATACTTGCCTAGTAATACTATATTATGTGAATGAAAGTGATCCTCGCAGTAATGTGCACTACTTGGGCAGTAGTGAAAATAAGGCCTGAAAAAAATTCAGGCCTGTACGGGATTTGAACCCATGACCTATGCGATACCGGTGCAGTGCTCTACCAACTGAGCTAACAAGCCAACTGGGAGCTGGCTATTATGTTGCTAAAAAAAAGGACATGGAAAATTTGACGACAAATTTCCGCTTAAGTTACTCAAACAACTCATTTGAGTATACTGGACTGCTGTTTTGAAGGGCGGCGTGAAATTGTTACCTGCACTCTCCTCTAAACACAAAATTCTCAGTTTGCAGTGGAGTTCAGTTTCAAATTCTTGTTCAGCTCTAACATTATGCTTAAAAGATTATTCGCCTGAGACTTAATAATTATTAGTAGTCAAATAAAGTTTACCACCCCTTCGGGAAACAATCTATTTTTGTGAGTATACATTAAGAGAGATCACGACTTTCATCTTTTTCTTGAAAGGGGTAGCATTGTACCATAAATTGGGAATGATCCCTCATTATACTACGCGTTATACTCTGTTCCTCCTAAGGCAACAAGGACATAATTCTATGTGAATCCATAAAATCTCTCCTATTCTTCTCAACTGCACAATTTTCGTCATTTTATACCAGATCCATTATGTTCCAATGGAACGCTTTTGGCTCTGACTGAGGGCTCGAAACGTCAGCTTTGAAACTCTTTACGGTAGCCAATTTACATTATCAACTCAGTTGATAATGATAACGTAAATATAAGTTATATAATACTTAATCACCATGTCATTCTGTTCCAAACTCTTTTCTTTGCCATTTAAAACTGTAGGGTAAAAGTACAAAACACTTGAAGAAACAACTGGAATCACTGGATTGGAAAGAAATAAAACTCGAAACATGTCACGGTGGAATGTCCCTCATGGATTTTAGCACACTCGTAGGAGCCGTTATGGTATACATGAAAGACCATTACCCAACCACACCTGATGAATACAACTTTCAAGCCGAATTAAAGGCTGCGAGTCATTGGTATTGGTATCCAAAGAGCAATAAAAATCCTGGCCATGAGGAAGGAGATCGTACCTCGATAAAGCTTCCAAAACTTGTATCGGGTCCCCACAAAGATAAACGTATTAAAATAGCAGCACTAGAGACTTGTAAGAAATGGATCAGTGTCCTTAAAGAGTTGAAAACGGAATCATCGCCACAAAAGAGATCTCAAAGGTCTAAAGAAGATGAGCAGTCTTCATCTGAAGAGGATGAAATTGAGGAACGCATTTATGGTTTGTAACTTTTAAACACTAGCGTTAAAGTCTCAATAGACAGACAAATTTCTGTTAGTTCAATTGCATACCAAGGGACCTGTTAAGCATATTATCTACCTCAAACCTCTACTTCTACCGCAAAAACAGAAAAATAAGGGGTAGATTTCTAACAGTATTATCATTTTACTAACAACCTAACTACACGAATTTTATGATATTGCTGTTGGCGGAGATCACTGTATCGAATTCTTAGTTAGATTGGGTCCTGTACTCGCTTAATGAAAAATTCCTTAATTGTCCATTATCTCATTTCAGTCTTTATAAGTTTATTATTTCCTCAACTATTTATAGATCTCGAGGAAAGCATTTTTGATTTGAAGACATACTTCGATTTCAAAGGTAGGTCCCCCTATTTACTTTTTTCCAGTTATTCTTAAACCCTTGTCGAAATTAGCAAGATATGCTTTTCTTCTGAGAAAATGAAAGTACAATTTTGTCAAATAAGAATAAGAACTTCAGCAATACCGGCAGACAGTTTTTCAGTCGCCCCACTTTGTATGTCTCTCAGTCTGCATATCTGCCATTCGATCACTCCGTCACACTGTTACTCTGTCATTCTGTCACTCTGTCATTCTTTCACTTTGTCACTCTGTCACTCTGTCACTCTGTCACTCTGTCACTCTTTCACTCTGTCACTCTGTCACTCTTTCACTCTGTCACTCTGTCACTTCGTCATTCCTTCACACTATCACTCCGTCACTCTTTCAGTCTGTCACTCTGTCACTCTGTCATTCTTTCACACTGTCACTCCGTCACTCTTTCACTCTGTCACTCTGTCACTCTGTCACTCTGTCATTCATTCACACTGCCACTCCGTCACTCTTTCACTCTTTCACTCTTTCACTCTTTCACTATTTCACTCTTTCACTCTTTCACTCTTTCACTCTTTCACTCTTTCACTCTTTCACTCTTTCACTCTTTCACTCTTTCACTCTTTCACTCTTTCACTCTTTCACTCTTTCACTCTTTCACTCTTTCACTCTTTCACTCTTTCACTCTTTCACTCTTTCACTCTTTCACTCTTTCACTCTGTCACTCTATCATTCTTTCACACTGTCACTCCGTCACTCTTTCAGTCTGTCACTCTGTCATTCATTCACACTGCCACTCCGTCACTCTTTCACTCTGTCATTCTGTCATTCTTTCATACTGTCATTCTTTCATACTGTCACTCGGCCACCCTTTCATCCCTCACTCTGTCACCCTGTCACCCTGTCACCCTGTCACCCTGTCACCCTGTCACCCTGTCACCCTGTCACCCTGTCACCCTGTCACCCTGTCACCCTGTCACCCTGTCACTTTGTCACTCTGTCACTCTGTCACTAGGTCGTAAAAGGGTCTCATACTCAGTTTGGTTATGAATGGCATGTATTTAAAATAACATGAAGCTCATCTATCTTCAGAGCTGGAAGAAGACGAAACAGAAAGTGAAAAATACTCCTATAAGCAGTATGGAAATGAGGATGAGGGTGGCCCAATGGATATAAAATTGACCAAGGTGAGCTGAGTGACAGGAAGGCCTGTTACAATTTTCATCCTCCTAACACTCACTCGCAAATGTTTGGGAAGGATTGTCCATCGTAAGTTGTTTAAAAGAGAAAAACTGACTAACAAATTTCTAAGTTTCACTTTCCCTACGAGTTCATGCAATTTTTAGATTATTTGTTGTTTTTGAAAGATTAACTCGCGCCTATTTGGAACAAATTACATTCGTAATTATTTCATTACCTACACAAAAATGAAAGTTTGTCTCTATTAATTTTACAGGACAACCCACCAAATGAGGTGGCCAAGTACGCTCCGCATCTGGGTGGAGAATTGCATTACGAGGAAGAAACATTACTGAAAAGAAGATCAGGGAAAATGGTGTGTCACAAAAGGAACAGCTGGGAAGAGCATGTATTTCGACTAAGATCACAATCTGCCTGAATTGGGAAGGTCAAGAACTGAGAATCAAATAAACTTTGGAAAGGTTATTAACTCTGGTTAAGAATATATGAAAGTCATTAACGTTATTAACTCTCTTGTATCACATATTCAAGGAATGTAAAGCTGTGCATATCGATTCAGAGCACTGCATTTTGGAAGAATTTGTTTGAAATAGTAGTTATACTCGCAACCTTAATGAGAGTCTGGAGCAAAGACTCGCCTTAGACCCCTTGATTTAGCGTTTTCCTTTTATCCACGCTGCGCAGTTTCAAGATCCAGTAAACACAAACATTCATGATGCACAAAACATTTAATACATTTACACTTATACAATATGTTTCACATATGGCTTAATTAGCGATTTTGACATAATTATTTCAATGAAATATACGCGTGCGTATATATACACAATCAATGCTATTACCCTAGAATTTAATTTTTTCGCTGACATGAATATTATTAATTTTTTTACCACTTTACCACAAAAGAGTCTGCTTGTGTTAATATATATCTCTTATATTTATCAGCGCAAAATTTTCCTCTGCCCACAAAAGGCTTAATTTCCCCTTACTGATCCACTGAGTTTGACAAACTTTCACCGTTTTGCGTTCCACACAGTTTTCCTTACAAATTTTCGTCATCAACAAAGTTCCTGCGATTTGCGGCAGAGCAAAGAGGTCTCTCAGATTGTTAGATCTTTTTTGTCTATCCCTACATCTTCTGCTAACCAAAATTTTTCCGGTCTACCCAAAGGATTGTTTATTTGATGGGTTTCTCTGGTAAACAAAAAGTTCAAATTTAAGGGAACAGCTGAAGATGAGATACAAAGAAGATCAAGTTAAAGATACGTAAAAAATGGAGATGGGTTATTCCCAACCACAAATACTTCTTAACTGATATCTTGTAATGGAGCATTTCTGCCCTCAAACTTGATTGCTTGGTCTTCTCATATTTTTAATTGTTTATCAAATAAGTCTTTTTTTTTTTGCTATCGCTGAAATAGATTTGTAAAAATGAAACAGAAAACGTTGGGGAATAAGATAATCAGTACTAGCAATGTATCTAATCACGTATTGCGATTTAGAGGCATGATTATTTTACTGTCTGATAAACCCACCTTTAATGGGAAATTAGTGCTCATGAATCGTTGTATAACGTGAGCGAGCGCTGATTCTCAGATTAGCAGCAGATTGACTATGAGTCTGTTTATAATTACTTTGACATCAACAATTCCAGCTTTTAACTTGTATTCCACTGATGTTGTGAGAAAAAGGCATTGGGATGTTATAATTTTTGATTTTTCTCTTACATTTAATTCACAGGTATATTTCCTACTTTTTAGTTTCCATAGCCAGTTTCTTTTCCTCAGACAGAGGGCCAAATGTAAAGTAATCATGACCAATAATTAACAATTATCCACTTAAGCAGAAGTGAATACTAGTGGATATTAACCGAGCCGCGAGGCAGCGAGGTAAATATCCACCACTTTCACAGTTACTGAGGTGGATAGTACTTTTCATTCACCTCGGAACTAGCCTATCAGCGCGTCAATCAGGGATCGCGAAATGCATTACATGATTCAACTGAAAAGTAAATATTAATCACCATTGCACGTACATCCAGCTTCTTTTGGAAATCTATCTGACTACCTACAAAATGAGAGGCACAGCTAATATAGTATTGCTTTCTTTGAAACCTGTAGTTCATATTTTTATACGGAAACTGCTGGAATTCTTACCCACATTAGACATTAAAAACAGAACGCATCAAGGCATTCAATCGTAGGAGGAAGCAACGAACGTGTTGTCTATCTGTTTTATATTTATTTCTACTTGTTTGCTTTGTCGATGACAATCAGTCTTCGATTTGGTTTATTCACACTTTGCTCTCTAGCTTTGGATATACTTGGCGTATTTAGCAAAGCGTCTGCAAATAAATGCCAAAATTAATCATGTAAATATACATCGAGGGAATCTCTACATCAGAATTGTCTAGAGCAGGTGCAAGGGAAATTTGTTTGATCTACCACTGAGTTTGTTTTGAAATTATGTTTTCGGAGAAAGTTCTATAGATTTAATCAAAATTATTTTTTGACCAAAAATGGTCATACTTTTTTCGAGGTATGAATACCTCCCACTAACCAAATTCGAGGCCGAGTTTTTCGTTTGAATTTATGGCCAAAAGGGGAAAAAGGAAAAAGCGAGGTTCCGTATCTTAGAGTACAGACCGAGAAAATGAGCTTGGTGAGATATTTATTACATCTCTGGGTTCAAAGGGGAGGATCACAATTCAAACAGACTTTTGATTTCAGGAAGCCAGTCAGATAATCATCCTGTTTAAGTAATTGTAAACAGTGACAGTGGACGTTTAGTGGTTACTATGACGAATTTTCCCCATTGAGGAAATTTCAGCAGTATTGAAGGAGCGCGACAACGAGCTTTTATTGAGTATATCCAAAGCATTCAAAGAAAGATTAAAGAAATATCTCCCCGATTTCAAATTGATCATAAAGGTAGAGGCAAAGATGTCTACATTTATAGTGTAAAGGAAATCATGTCTTGCTTGGTTTTGTCCAGAGGAAGAAGGGAAGAAAAGCATCGTTTCCTTGACCACACGATATTTGTATTCACTTCTTCTAGCAATTGTGAAATCTAGAACAAACGAAAGCTCCCTCAGCCTCAGGTCAAAATAAAGTGCGGTCGACTTACTACCATTCGTAACCCCAGCTATAGTCCTTCTTTTAATTTACGTGGATCAACATTCAAAAGAAACTTTTAATTTGAAACCATCCAGCTGAAATTAAGGTAACGGGAAAAAGAAACGATATCCTTTATAATGTTGTACATCTAAGTGATACTTCTTTCAACAGAAAGAAGAAAATGTCTTATATCTATCTTGATAACTACACAAAGTCAAAGATCTAACTCGACTTCACTTGTGCGACCTCTCTTGGTTTGAGGCTAGCCCCTAGTTATTGAGTGTATTTCTTCCAGGGAAGGCAGCTCAGCATCTGGAAGAAATAAAATTGGAGAAGTATCGGGTTGAAGATGAGTCGGGGTGTTACTAAACTGAGGATCAGCGGAACCATCAATTTTTTTTTGGCAAAAAAGGAAAATATATAAGGAAATATAATAGAAAATAAAATCACCTTAACACTGTTCAAAATTTCATTTTCGGGTATAAAAAAGGTTATTTTTATTTATTTATTTCCTTTTTTAATGAAAATTAATGGTTCTGCTGGTTACGGAGGTTCCGCGATCTACTGATCTGTAGTTTAGTAACACCAGATGAATTGTTATGCTTTACAATGGACGGACCACAAGTATTTGCGTGTTATCGTATCTTAGCTGGCGCAAATCAGAATAGGAGAGAAGCTTAAACGTCATAAACTTATCTGAGTAGACGAAGTATCTAAATAGACGAAGTACCTTGACAACTTTGATATTTTTCATAGTTTTTAGGACATATTAGATTACCATGGCGACAGTATTCATTTCCTGCTAAGTTCTGAATAAATCTATACGTAATGAGTCACCTTAAATTCTTAAAACTAAAACTGCTCTAAACTGTATGTAAAATCTTTTTTGGAAAAAATTGCAGCGTTATACATACCTATTCATAGTTCCCTTTGGAACGGATTTTTTAAAATAAGCAATTAAAAACATGGGATTTACCTCAGTAATATTGTCCTTTGTAAAAGGGGTATCGAGGTCTCCCTTTGGCTTAATATGTCCTTTGAAAGGACGATCATCAGGCACAACTATTTCTACTTCGTCTGGAAAAGGACTGTGCTCGTCCAGCTGCCACAACTCTTCAGGATTCCTTTTGAGATTTTCTGGCATCCTCCTAAAATCGGTAAAAGTACTTAAACCTATCGAGAGAAAAAATAGCCAGCAAAGCCGGTGAACAAGACTTGCATCACCTATGAGTAAACAATTAAGAGAGCGTTAACACCAAAACAAGTCTTAAATGTACGAAATTTCACTAAATGTGAGGACTAAATGTGAGGAACGTGAGTTAAATGTGAGTTAAATAATTTTTCCGATACGTGGGGTATTTTTAGGAAAAAGACCTTATTACTAATCATCGAAAATCCCCACGCTGATCTCTAGGATGTCTACAGAAGTAAACTCCCTTCAGACTGGCAAAATATGAAATAGTAGTACCTGGTAAATGTGGTAAAATATTGCCTCTGCCCTCCGGAGAGTACCAAAAATCGCATTGTATGTCTCATTCGCTTATCTTCCCTTCCATAAGCATTTCGTAGAGATTTGGATCGAACGGCTTGATTTTCTGTCTGATGCGCTTCCTAACAATAGCCTGTCGATTACAACCCCGCCTGATGAATTTAAATCTCCTTATCTTTTTCCTGTAATTAAACAGGAACTGCTTTTCTTCTTCAAGGTTAACGAGAGTCCCTTCATTTCTAGCCATGTTGGAAATTTGTAGATGAAGATATGTATTTACCGATCATGCAGCTGCAATCTGGGTAATGACGAGCATGCTAGCTGACACTGTTTACCCCCAGAAACGTAGTATTTAGATTGAAAGACAAATTGAAACATAGCCTATGAAAATAATTGTAATTGTCAAGACAATTCAATTAGAAGTGAGAGAATAAAAGTCAACCAAATCCAATGACTCAAATACATTCACTTTTGTATTGATTTCTCTGATATTCTCAGGTGATAAGTTCCACAAAAATCTACCGTTGTAACTAACACTGCGTTTTAAAGTCAGACGTATAAATCTTGTGAGGCCAGATATGCTACGATAATTAAGTTTTCCGAGCTTCCGCCGATCTACGGCATCATCAGGGATCGAGAAGCAGGTTTGAGCTAGTATCGTAATCGGCCTTTTAAATTGCTCTAGCTGCTCGGTTCTGTGATTTTGGTAATTTGTCGCTCAATTTATTACTTAAGCCGTCCCAAACGAGGCTGCAGTAGTTAAAGTGAAGTTTCGTTTATACTAGTATGGTAGTAGATTTTGAAATAGAAAAATAGATTGTTAAATAGAAAAAATTATATTTTGACCCGTGGATGGTAAATAGTTGAAGATATGAACCTCACATTAGTGTGCATGATATTTAATAATGAACGTTAAAACGGAAGTTTAAGAAATTCTTGGTGACGTTGTCTAGAAATATGTTTCTTAAATTTCCGCCTTAGCATTCATCATATCAATTAAATATCATGCACACTTCGGCAACGATAGTTTACCCCTCATCTAAGACATCTGGTATAATAAATTGGTTATGTCTTACGTGAAAATCGTATCTTAGGCTCTCTCTCATATCAATTAAATATCATGCACACTTCGGCAACGATAGTTTACCCCTTATCTAAGGCAGAAGTGATCAGATTGTTATTCCAGTTTATACTTAGTTAAAGGTTCGTCCCAATTACCGCGTACCGTTCTCAATGTTTTTATTCTGATTACATAACGTTATTTCCCAGAGGACGGCAAGGAAACAAGAAAACTGTTAAAATGCGCGTATTTTCCTTCTTAGAAAATTATTTCCTAGCAGTCTCGATGCTGCCACAGCAATGATCAGCTCATTATTCAAGTTTGTAATCAGAGGTCGGCAAGGAAACTAGAAAACCTTTTAAAACGCGCACATTAAGCTATTGTCCTTCCTAGAAAATTATTTCCTAGCAGGCTCGATGCCGCCGCAGAAGTAATCAGATTTTTATTAAAGTTTATACTTAGTTAAAGGTTTATCCCGATCACCGTACTGTTCCCAATGTTTTTACTCTGATTGCGCGATGTTATTTCCCAGAGGTCGGCAAGGAAATCAGAACTTGAAACTTTTAAAATATAGGCAGCCAGGTCTGCCGGGTACGCTAACCACTTTCAGCCGGTTCGCGTTCATGTTACAAAAGATTAAATAAGCAAAAAAATAGCGACGCACGTGTGTTTTAAATCTTCCTACATTTCCAAGCCGTCCTATACAGAACTAAAACGTTGACGCACCAACTACGTCCTCTTCGCAATGAAACCTTGACAGCAATTAAGTAAGGTTTTACTTTGAACTCATCAATACATTCACATGTTATACCGAAATGATGACGCTGCGCCTACAGACCACACGTCGCTGTAGTAACAACTTAAACTCTCTAATTGCAAGCGCACATCTTATAGATTGACATCCCTTTCATGTATCTCTTGCCCATAAATAAACAAAAAACGCTCTCCTACTTAAAGGAGTGTGAGGATTTGTCTATTTCTTGCCATGATGTAATAGATAAGTTTGAATCAGTTTTTAGTCATGCAGCTGCAATACACCCTGAATTAATCACGTGACGAAATACTAATATAAAGCCCGATAGAAATTTAAAGCAGAATCTCAAAATATATTTAATTCAGAAAAGAGAAGAAGCCGGAAAAACCAGGTTTAAACAAACTTTGCACACCTGCTTCTAGATAATCGAGCGATAACACTAACTGAACAGGGTTATCTAGAACTATTCAGGTTATACCGCAGGTCGGTAAAGAAACTAGTAAACTTTTAAAACGCAGATGCTGAGCTATTTTCCCGCTAAGAATGCTATATATGGTCTCCTTTTTACTCAAGTTTGTAATTAGTTTAAGGTTTATCACGCACTATTGTGTTATTGTATTATTGTATTATCCATTTCCGTGGAGGTATTTTTCTAATACTTGATGAAAGTTAGATGTAGTGAAGATATGAACCTCACAGAAGAACAGAGAGAAATTGCAAAAAGAAGCCTCGTTTATTTTTCAGACTTCTTATCTTCTTTTTAATTGGGAGTGCAATTTCAGTCAAAAGATGGTGGATCGAATAAATGAATTACTTTTGGCACGGCAAATGTGAGGGCGTTAAGATCCATATTAGAAATCAGAATTATTCGCCGTGGAGCCTTCCATTCTCAATGTTTTCACTGTAGTTGCATGATGTTATTTCCTAGAGGTCGGCAAGGAAACTAGAAAACTTTTAAAACGTGCGCACTAAGCTATTGTCCTGCCTATAAAATTATTTCCTAGCAGGCTCGATGCCGCCGCAGAAGTGATCATACGTTCAAGGTTCATCTCAATTACCATACCGTTCTCAATGTTTTTATTCTGATTGCATGATTTTATTTCCCAGAGGTTGGCAAGGAAACCAGAACTTGAAACCTTTTAAAACGCACCTGCTGTCAATCTCAATGATCAGCTTGTCATTCAAGTTTGTGAGTAGCTGGAGGTTCGTCACGATCATCGTACCGTTCTCGATTTTTTTCGGAATCTAAAAATTGAATGCGCCCCAAATATTTATTCGTTAAGTTTCCAAATTTAAGTACACAAATGAACTCAAGATAACAAGCTGAGGTGAGTCCAATTTATTTCGCTAAAAGCCCAGTAGCCGGACTCGGTTTTAAATATGAGGCTGCGCTCACTCTTGGTGCTCGACCACGGTGCCCGATTACTATTCTTGATGGCTTCCAATGTGAACACAGCTTGGTTTTCATGTGCCTGCCCCAGAATTTGGGCACCATGCACGTGCCTGAGCACCATTTTGTGCCAGTGCCCTGACACTAATGCTCGGGCACCAAGTGTATACGCAGCCTTAATGCCCGGCAGTTGGGCACGGTGTCAAATAGTCTAAATGCCTGGAAATTGGAAATTTTCACGCGAACGTAAACCCACCATTCTCCATGTTGGGAATTAAACAAGCTCAGAGAATTTACCCACTAACTTAAAAGAATTTGGTCCATGTTTAGCGTGCGTATATCAAGTTATGGATGCACGTGGGAAGTTTGGAGAGCAAGAAAGAAGCGTGAGGGTTGCTCGAGACGCAGCCGAGAGCAAGTCTAGCTTCTTGCGCACGCACTATAATATAAAACATGTTATATCCCGATCGCACCTCACGGCAAAACCAAAAAGCCCACGGCAATATCAAAAGACTCACAGCAAAACCAAGAGGCTCACCGAATGATTTCTTCATGTCTAGAGAGATTGTGAAAATTTATCTTCAATATTATTATAAGTTTTTTGCAACACAAATACGATGACTGTTGAGGGGAGGGAGAGTTGGAACTCTGTGGGAAGGGGAATGTTGTTGGTTATTAATACCTGTAAATAAAATACTCCTCAAATGTTAAAATCCATCCTGTTGTGGTGATGTCGGGAATAGGGTGTTATCATTCATTAAATGATGATTGATGGGCCCTTTTCTAGAATTTCGGGAGAAAATCAATATTTAATCGCGTGCACTGTAGGTGTACGCGATTAGTGTATTAGTGTATTAGATTAGTGCAGGTGTACACTATTTTTACCCTATAGTTTCTTTTTTTCGTAGGTGTTACTACAGATACGCTGGTCGCCACGTTTTTTAAACACTGTCTGCAATGGATGTCAACAATGAAATATGTGGTAGAGCTTTTCCCAAGGTGGGCTTCTTCCTTTCCAAGCATCTAAAACTTTTTCTACTTATCGTCGTTTGTGGATTCTTTGTTGTAGGTAAGTTCTTTTTTTCTGTAGTTAACATTAACATAGAAGTTTCCGGTCTTGAGCGGAAACACCGAAAAGGAGGGTGCCACTGAGCTTTGATTTAAATTTTATCCAATTTCTTCAGCTGAAATCTTACACTTTTTTCACGATGTAATATTTGCCCTTACAATCTTTTAACAGTCGGAACAATAGGGGTTACGGGTAAAACATATATACGAATTAGTTCCTGTCTTTGTAAGACCATAATAACACAGAACTCAGTAGATTCAAAGCGTTGTTCGGCCGTGAGCACGTTCAGTTTTTAAGGGAGAATCCAACAGTCACGAAACGCAATAAATATTCAATTGTGTAAAACACCAAGAACAGAAACGGAGTTTAGCAAGAATCTTTTCGATCGAACATAAATTCAAGTTTGAAAACGAAAATTGATCGACTTAGTTCAGCGAGGTTTTTTCTCTGTCTGCCTCTATTCAACAAAGGTTTACAGTTATGTTTTCCTACTAGAGTTTAAGGAAAAATGGAGACGGACAGCGAGAGACTTTGGCATCGAAAATAGTTTTAGCCCACCCATGAGATAATAAATCAAATGTATTTCAGATAATGTATTTTCCGTTTCAAGATAGCTGTGGTGTTCGCACGCGTTCTCGTATAGTCGGAGGCTACCAAGCTGCTCCTCATTCTTGGCCTTGGCAGGTCATGCTTATGACCTCTGATTCGCGTGAGCCTTTCTGCGGAGGAACGTTATTGAGTGAAGTTTGGATCATCACTGCAAGCCACTGTTTGGACTATTTGATTGAAAAAGATGTTATAGTAAGGTTAGAAAAGTTATATGTCGAATGCTGTAACAAGTGATATTTAACATTCGTTCGATCCAACATTTTCTTTGGCTCGTAGAAAACTCTTATTCTTGAAATGTAAACGAAAGGACATGTAGTGTTTTGCCAAGTTAGTGAAACTGTGAAGTTCAGAACTGTGCACTATAAAAGAATTCATGGTTGCCCCATCGACAATGGACTGAAATGCATACGTTGTCGTGTACAGCCGTCAGGGTTTTCGCAATCGAAATCATTAACATTCGTTATTTTTCCCTTTCGTGCACTAAAACGGTAAAGGAAAGCGATGATGTTTTCTCGGTAGAGATTGATATGAAACTTGTGAAAAAATATATAAATATATATTATTTATCGTAATTATTTGTCATTTAGAGCAGGTGCACACCACCGAACCAAGCTGAATAAGTGGGTGCAAGACTTAAAAGTGCGACAGATTTATCGACACCCGAAGTACGACGATCCCGTTATGTTCGCAAATGATGTGGCCTTGCTCCTGCTGGACCGACCAGCCCAGATAAACAGCGCAGTCCGCCCAATTTGTTTGCCTGGCAAGAATGACCGACCGAGAACAGATTGCACGGTGACCGGTTGGGGTCGTCTGGGTGATTTTGGTCGTCGTCCAGACTACCTTATGCAAGTAAATACACCATTCAAAGATGAACATGTATTGCTTTTAATACGAATTAAAAGTTCAAAAATAAAAGCGTATTTTCGAATGTAGTACGTCTTCACCGTTCAGGCAAGCGGAAAGCAAACAACTGTTCATTTTAAGCATAATTACAAGAATGTCGAAAAGCAGTCTTGATAGACTCAGTCGCGCAAACTTTTAGCCGCGTTTGGTGAGACGTTAACCGAAAGGCACGGGTTTCCTTTTCTTTCTTCTTTTATCTTTTTGTCAGGTGACCGTTCCAATCGTGCCCTATTCCACGTGCCGAGAGATCTATCCAGGAGAGGTCCACGAAAGTATGCTGTGTGGAGGACATCTAGCAGGCGAAAAAGATGCTTGTACAGGCGATAGCGGCGGACCATACGTTTGCGAGCACCAAAACAGCATTTGGAAACTAGAAGGAATTGTCAGCTGGGGTTACGGCTGTGGACGGGAGGACAACCCTGGAGTTTATACCAATGTCTCTCACGTACGTGAGTGGATAAAAAATGTGTCAGGCATATGATACCATCGACGAATAGCCACTATGAATGATTTTATGGCTTTTGATTGGTTGACTCTTATAGACAATACTTAAAAAAAAAACAGGAGAGATGAAAAGAAAAAAACAGGTAAATAGGAGGCATTTGAAATATTTGATCAACTTTGTTGATATTGGACCAAATTTTTTTTATTTGTTTGCCTTTTCGCTGTTCTTTTATAATTATACCTCGTTTATCTTCTTTAGTCCACACATGGCAATGTCTTTGGACTTTCAAGGTATTTAAATTTCGGTGACTCATTTGCAGTAGAGCCGTCCTATTCACTAGGCCGACCACTCCACTATCAATTTCCAGTGTAAGTACCCTAAACGGTCTAAGAAAGAACCCGTGTAGAAATGAATTTGAACAACTAGAGCATAAACATGACCCTTTTCTCGAGTGACTCTTAAATTAAAGCTACGAACCTGCTGGAGATAAACACTTGCGCAAACAAACCGGAAAGTGAATAGGAACACTGAGTGATTGACATAAAGAATATTATCGATTGAGGATAATTCATTTGAGATGTTTCGCACAATTTTCTAGGCTGCAACGTAACTCAAAATTAAATCCTAAATGCCTTTCACCAACTCACTCACATGATATCAAACAAACAAATAATGACTTAAAGTAGCTTAAGAGTGTCATAACACTCGTGAGCTTTGACTCCTTTTAATATTAATTAAAATTAATTAATATGTTTTCTATATTTCACATTTCGTTAGTACACAATTTGTAACTGGACTCTACTTCTCTACCTAAATGCGATGGACGATTTGCTTTGAGTGAAATAGGGTGAGAGGACTACACCTACAAAAATTACAACGTATTACCCAAAAACTGATATTTTTCCTCTATAGTGTAATAGGAATCGTATCTTCATAGTTTGTATTTTGAAAAACAAAGGGCGGGGAGTCCTTTGTTCTTTGACTACTTGATATACCTACGTTTTCATCCAGTTATGAATACTGAAACATGGATGAGCTAGAGCAGCCTTGTGACGAAAAAAAATTCGATATCTTTTATGATATTTTACACTTAATTATACTACAATAAAGAGGAAGGGACAAGAAATTGCTCATTTCTCTTTTGATAGAAACGTGAAATAGTAAATCCAAAGCCACCACTCTTGTGAAAGTCTTTCAAAGAGCACGGTCTCAGTTTAGTGGGTTTTCCACAAGTTGTTTAGGACATTTCCTCCAAGGAAGGCACCCAAGCATCTAAAGGAAATAGGATGGAAAAGTTATTGGGTTGAAGATGAAACATGCTTTGCCTCAGACGGAAGCAGATACATGCATGGGTGTTTTATCTTACCTTGCTAGCGTATAAAACAGAATAGTAACAAAGCCGAAAAATATGCCTCAACGTAACCAGTTCGGTGGAAAAGTTGAATTTGATGTGCACAAATCGAAAAAAGCACAAATCAAGTACGAAACCTTAAGAGGACCACACTGTTTGGGTTAGGAATTATAAAACTGGGCCAACCGACTTCGAAATGACATGAATGAATTGGAAACGTGGTGCCAAATTAGTCTTAACTGTTTGTTAGAACAGGTGGGAAAACGCATTCAATTGAATAGGAGAATTTTTTACAGATTTCCCGACTGATTGCTTATTCCTAAGAACCCCCCTCTTTAAGGTCAAACCTCTTTAGAGCAAGAAAATTTGTAAAAAGCCCTTTGAAACCTTATGGGCCCGAGGGAAATCAAGGATTGATTTCAGGCGAAGCTTCGAAGTTTGCGAGTAACAACTATCTTCCGAGTGTATAATTATATCACCATCTACCGAGTGGAAATACTAAATCGATGACATTCGTAAACAAAGGGTCCGTTTAGGCTCCGTAAGCACCAAAAAACACTACAAATAAGCAAAATTTTCAAAACCCGGTTCACGAGAGAAAACAATAGCAATTAACTCAGACGACGTGCGCTCAACCAATCAAGAAAATTAAGTAATCAGAAATTTTGCCCCGTATGTTGGACAATTATCCAAACTTAAAGTTCAAGAGCTCTGCATTGATGAGTTTTCCTTAGCATTTGAAAACTAAAGAGAAATTGGCTTATTTTAAGGAGACAATCCCCTGAACATTGCAGGAGAGTTTAATGAAAAGTTACTTATTTATATGAAAATAACAGTTCTCTTCTTTTATCAAAACACATTTTACGTAACAGCTAAAATAACAAATGTTCTAATAAAAAAAAGGGACTTAACCTCGATTAATTTGTCCTTTTCGACTTGGGTACCCTTTTTAATCCTTATGTATCCTTTAAAGCTACGGTCTTGAGGCACAAATATTTCCAGTTCGTTTGGAAAACGACTCTCGGGGTCCAGCTGCCATAGCCGTTCAGGATCCCTTGTTAGATGGGATGGCATCAGATTTCTATTGGTAAAGGTACTTAAACCTGTTATGAAGAACAGTAGAAACAGTTCAGAACGAATAACTACATACGTTTAGCGAAAGTAGCAGAGATATCTTAAAAATAGTAAATCGACAGGTAAAGCCAAGGGTAGCTAGAAATATTTATTAGCAGGACCTCTGCCTCTTAACGTTAGAAACATTATTTTGTTATGTCGCCAAGATATGCTGTCAAAAGTTTGGGAGGGAGCTTGAAATAAACGACTTTTGTGGTAAAACCGAGCGGGATATCTGGTGGTAAAATACCTCAGGAAGACGGAATGGAAGTTGAAAAAATTTACCACAGTTGTTTTCTGATGGTGAAACGTCGTCTATCTCATAAATTTGTAATTTATGAATTCATAGCAGGTGTTTGTTGGAGACATATCGCGCACTCTTACAGGCCGACTCTAGACTATTGTAACATCCCCCATATAAAAGTGCTTGTACCCTCGCTCTACTAAGTTAAATGCAGAAACATATGTACCCTCTGCGAATGTACAAACGTCCATTTAAAAAAAACTGATGGATTTGTAGCAGAAATACGCAATGATTCAAATACTAATGACACTATACGTAAACAAATATCTTCATGAATTGCATCGAAGATGCACGGACGTACACCTCGTGAAGACCTCAGTCTCGATAAATAAGTAGTTCTACGAATGCTCAGGATATTTTTGGAAACTTTTGGAAACATATTTTTACCGTTTTAACATAACGTAACCAAGAATTTCTTAAATTTCCGTTTCAACATTCATGATATCAATTAAATATTATGCACACTTTGGCAACGAACGATAATTTACTCCTTACCTAAGACATCAGGTAAAATAAGTTGGTTATCTCTATCATAACAAAAATCGTATCTGAGGCTCTCCTCGTTGATCTCTCCTGCCATCAACTTTTCATACAGATCTTTTTCGCACGGCATTATCTTGCGCTTGACAGCTTTCCTGTCAATAGCCATTCGTTCACCGCCAAATCTTATAAATTGACATCCCTTTGATATCTTTCGCCAGTAGTTAAACGAAAAATGCTCCCCTATTCCAAGGAGTTTGAGGATTTGTCTATTTCTTGTCATGATGAAATAGATAAGTTTGAATCAGGTTCCAAACAAGCAGCTCCGATACGCTCTGAATCTATCACGTGACGAAACACTAATTAAAAAACCTATTTGAAATTTAAAGCAGAATCTCAAAATTAATTTCATTCATAAAGGACTTCGACAAGCTTCGTACACCTGAGATCATCGGGCGATAACAACAACTGAACTGAGTTCTACATTTCTGTAAAGGTAATTTTCTGATATTTGATCATAGTTACATGAAAAATATTATATTTTGACCTATGGGTGAACCTCACAGAAGAGCAGAAAGAAATTACAAAAAGAAGCCTCGTTTAGTTTTCAGTCTTCCTTTTTTTTTTCTTTTTTTTTTTTTTTTTTGTTTATTTTTCATCAGGAGTGCAATTTCAGTCGAAAGACGGTGGATCGAATGAATAAATTACTTTCGGCACCAAAAGTGATTAGTTCTAAAAAAAGAAAAAAGAATTATTTGCCGTTGGGCCTAGCTTTCTCAATTTTTTTACTCTGATTGCATGATGTTATTTTTCCAGAGGTCGGTGAGGAAACTAGAGAAGTTTAAAAACGCGCGTGCTGAGTTATCGTCTAGCTTATAAAATTATTTTCGTGGCAGTCTCGTGAGGACCTCAGTCTCGATAAAATAAGAAAGATGGTTGATCGAATGATTAAATAACTTTCAGCAGTTTTGAGTTCCGTAAAGAAAAGATTATTTGCCGTCGAGCCTACCGTTCTCAATGTTTTTACTCTGATTAAAAGATGTTATTTCCCAGAGGTCGGCAAGGAGACTAGTAAACTTTTAAAACGCGCCTGCTGTGCTATATTCCTATTTATAGAAAATTATATTCCAGCAGCTGCCGCAGTAGTGATAAGCTTGTTATTCAAGTTTGTAATTAGTTAGAGGTTCATCCCGATCACCGTACCGTTCTCAATGTTTTTACTCTGATTGCAAGATGTTATTTCCCAGAGGTCGGCAAGGAGACTAGTAAACTTTTAAAACGCGCCTGCTGAGCTATATTCCTGCTTAGAAAATTATTTTTCAGCAGCCGCCGCAGTAGTGATAAGCTTGTTACTCACGTTTGTAATTAGTTAGAGGTTCATCCCGATCACCGTACCGTTCTCAATGTTTTTACTATGATTGCAAGATGTTATTTCCCAGAGGTTGGCAAGGAAACCAGAAAACTTTTGAAATGCGTGGGCTGAGCTATATTTTCCTGCCTAGAAAATTATTTCCTAGCAGTCTCAATACCGCCGCAGAAGTATTCAAGGCCTAGTTGTATAAGGACGGATAATGCTATCCAACGGATAAATCGCTATCCAGTAAATAAGTGATGGCAAAACGTATAGTGTTATCCACCGGATAGAGATTTATCCAATGGATAGCGTTATCCGACCCACGAACAGCCGGAGCCAGCTTGTTATTCAAGTTTGTAATAAGTTAAAGGTTCGTCACGATCACCACTCTCGATTTTTCAGGAATCTAAAACTTTAATGAAGACTTTCCCCTGCGCACTAAAAAATTTATTTGTAAAATTTCCCAATTTAAATACACAACTGAACCCAAGATAATAAGTTGAGGTGAGTCCAATTTATTTCGCTGTAGCTAAATACCCGGCAGCCGGGCACTGTCCAAAATAGTCTAAATACCCAGCAGTCAGAAATTTTCACGCGAAAGTAAACCCACCATTCTCCATGTTGGGAATTAAACAAGCTCGGAGAATTTGCCCACTAACTATAAAGAATTGATCCATACTTAGCGTGCGTATATCGAGTTATGGATGCGTGCGAGAAGTTTGGCGAGCACGAGAGAAGCGCGAGAGTTGCGTGAGTTAATTTTAATTTTCCGTAAATCAATTTTTTTTGCCGTGAATTGATTTTATTTTGGGTTGGGTTTATTTCGTTTTGCTGTGAGTTGATTTTGTTTTACCGTGAGTTATTTTATTTTGTCGCGATTTATTTCATTTTGTCCGTAAGTTGATTTTTTTCTGACGTGAGTTATTTTATTTTGTTGTGGGTTGATTTTGTTTAGCCGTGAAATTTTTTTTTGCTCTGAGTTATTCCGTAATGCCACACGAAGTTTCGTTTTGAGAAAACTGCTTTTAACTTGACTTGTACTTGTGGACCACCATATGTTCAATAGGTAGTTTGTTTTGAAATCGTAGAATTTTCAGAATTTTCAACACAAAGCAACGCAATTTTCTGGACGTAAATTCAAGTAAACAACAAGTCAAGCAGGGTGAATCTACCACACGGACCTCGTAAATTCAGGAAATTTGTAATTTCCGTCTTTTAAAGCATGGTTCATGCTTTAGCTGTGCGTATATCGAGTTATAGATGCTCTTGAGAAGTTTGAAGAGCACTCAAAAAGCAAGAGTTGCATTCGGCGGCGCCTTGAGCAACGCGATCGTACTTTTCTATCGTGCTCTCCAAACTTCCAAACCTTCCAAAGCATCCATAACTCCATATACGCACGCTAAGCATAGATCAATTCTTTTTGTAATAAAGTTCGGATATAACGCGTGCTGTCATTGGTTCAAAGAGTGTGCTCTATGAGAGAAAGCATAGAGCTGAGCTGAAGCTGTCACCCCATCTGCCAAAAAACAATTGGTTCATGCTTTTAGCTGTGCACTATCGAGTTATGGAGCGCGTGGGAAGTTTGGAGAGCACGAAAGAAGCGTTAACTATGTTTGACCTTTTCCGGAACTTCTCTCTAGCTTTTTTTCGTTAATTGAAAGTGAAATTTCGGAACAAGCGAGCCGGCAAGTGACTACAGAAGAACCAAACAAAGGTTTTTAAAAAGGCCAGGCGCCGTAATTTACGTTATTATAACGTGAATAGAGACGAAAATCCTCAAGGAGAAAACGAAATGGACAGTTCGAGTTTTAGAGGTTTCACGCTTAGTTAAATGGCAAGCTTATGTACAGTAATAAAAATCAAACAGAGGTAACACTCGTATAGTAAGTAAAGTTTCGTGATCAAAAACAAAACAGAACAAAGCAGGAATGGTGAAAAATATAAGCAAACTGGCATAACTGTTAAAATTCATACTAATCATGCCGATGTCAGAGCGACTGCGATCACGCTGAGGTCCATCGCGGTTTGCTCATCATGGCGATCTTCGGTCATCGCAGTGAAGCAAGCCGCAGGAACTACTACGGCCGCCCTTCAAGTGAAAAAATAAGTGCTTGCTCTGATATCCTTTCCAATGCGTTGAGTGGAAGGCCACATCAGTCACTGCAGCCGAGTGTCACGGCGCTGTCATCGCGAGCGATCTTCATGTTCCATGTCGTTTATTCATAAAACACTCGCCTTGAACTGTTTGTTTTCTACTTGTCATGTGGAAAACTTGCGTGTTTTTATGAACCACAATTCTGCCGAGTTTCACTGAACATTTCACTTTCAGATTCTGTATTAGAGACTAAAAAACTTCAGGCAGAAGTGTTCAATTCGACCTGCCGAAATATTCAAGTTTTTAAACTTTTGCAGAATGTGAACTTTGATGGTCTTTAAACTTTGATGGTTTGACATTTTTGACAGCTTTAGTCTTGTACAGCCTATCAGATAATTTGAACCATTCTAACAAGGATTCTGATTGGCTTATTGTAGCGTGCTTTATGAGAGTATAGAGCATGCTGACGACACCGTTGTTCGCTTTGGAAATAAAGTTTGTTTTGAAAATTGAAAGTAATGCTTGGGAGTTTGCTTGGGGAATTTAACGGATTCTTTATCATAAAACAAATAGAGAGGCCTCGACTGTGCTCTGTTCTGTTGTAAAGCACTTAGGAAGCGGCTAGAGCTTCCTAAGTGCTTTACAAATTTACGAATTTAACTCGACTACGTCTCGTGTTTCTCCCTACACTTCTTTCGTGCTCTAGCCGCTTCCTGCGTGCTTTACAGCAGAGCAGAGCACAGTCAAGTCTTCTCTATTTATTAAATTGTTTTCAAATGTTCCGACCGGCTATATCCCGTACACAGTTACCTTTCACAATAGTTTAACACTTTTTCTAGGTGGCTCTGTCGAATCAGACTGCAGGAGTTTTAAGAAATTTTGAGAATAATCGTAGTTTACCTGGAAAATGAATACGTTGACCCTCTATTTTCATGGGTGGGATCTGCTGAGCATACTTCAAGTACTAACCTTTAAAGATTTAAATCCTCTCTGTGGGAAAAATGTCTTTGCAAATCGCAAAAGATCATATTTGCCAGAAAAAAATCGATTACAATTATTTTTCAGGCATTTTTGCTTTAGAGTCATCTTTTTTCCTTTGTTCTAGATTACTAGTGAAAGTGAACGTGAGAGGTTCGTACACCGAGCAGAAGCCTAGAACAACATGCTCAGGATCACAAGCAAGCCTTTTGTCCTGAAATTTTTGTACAATTTAGCAAGGTTTGGGAATGAAAATTATCAGTCTTGTGGCCCAATATTTGTTTGCATGAAATTAAAGAGTGCCGTACATAAAAGCGAGGTAGATTGCAGAACACCAAGAATATTCACTTTTTCCGCCACTGCATCATCATCGTCCTCAAATGATCGGTTGGAAATTATTATATTCTTGCCGTGGAAAAATGTGGCATGAGTAAGATTTAAGTGATTAACATAATAATAAATTAAAAGTCACTCCAAATAAAAAGAGGAAATAAACCTCCCTTGCAGTAAAGAGTTTGAACCCAGGAGTACTGTTTCATCGAATTCTGTTTAAATGAAGTCGTGTCGATAACTGAAAACGATTAAAGTTATGGTCGAGTCCTTTATTATCCTTCATTTCTTAGATTTTGTATCTTCACACAAATAATTAAAAGTATTCACTTACCGAAGGAATATTGAAGTCTGAATTCTAACCTTTTTTTTTCCATTTTTCAATTTTCATGTTAACCTAAAGGCACAGCAGCGAACAACGAACTGGCGCTCGGCGAATTACTTCATCGTTCAACTGGTTGAGCACACGTGTCCTTAATAAAACTTATTTCAGGAGAAGTTTTAAAGGGCCACCAGAGATATTTTCCAGGTAATTAAAGAAAGGACTGTGTATAAAGTTCTCAGCTTTAGTCTTTGTGTTTTTCAAATACTTCACTAGGTTTCAATTAAATAAGAAGCGTAATTGCATGCACCCAAACCCTGAAAATCGCATGGCATTCAGACCGGAACGAGTCAAGCTGCGGGACTTCGCTTAGTCAGCGGGATTCAAAGTTCTCCCATGAAATCAAGGCGAGTGGTCAGTCAGTCGAAGATGGCGCCTGAACCCTGAAATCGGAGTGCATCAGAAAGAGGTGACATAAAGTAATCTTAATCTTGATAGAAGAAGCTCCCATCACATAATCATAATAACGTTATCTTAGTTAGCGAGGAAGGTCCTCACTAACTAAGATAATATAGTATAAAACATTTTAAAAACCAATTTAAGTAAAATAACGTAAAAAACTTTAAACTTATTACATTCAATCTCAGAAATACTTAAGTATTAAAACTCACTAAACTAAAGGAACCAACATGCTGTTGTTATAATAACAGAATTAAGTAAGAGAAGTTTGACATCAAAGTACTGATAAAAACAGAGGTAAAATGGAAAATTACTTTAAAATTAAAACCTATTAAGTAATAGCATTATAAAAGAATTAAGAGGTCCAAATGCAAGGCATTCCAATAAGGTAGAGCACTATTTACTGAAGATAAATTGTTAATGTTGTAAATTGCATTTAAAATAGGTACTAACTAGCTTACTGTTATGAGAATATTTATATATAAATACTCACTCCTATAGTGGTAGGAGTAGTTGTTGTTGTCGGAGCGACGATTGTTTTGAAAGGTACACCGAGAGAGAGTTACTGCGGAAGATCGCTCATTTCAAGGAACTTTGGAGACAGCAGTGAGATTGTGTTAGTGGTGAGCTAGGATATAGACTGTGGTGGGCTTAATTGAGTTTATTGACGATAAATATTGTACTGCTTTAAGGAGTCGTTCCTAGTTAAGAACGTTTCCCGCTGTTTAGTAAAGAAGTCGAGTTTGTGGGATTGTAGTATTTTTCTGTCGGTTAGATCATACCGTAACACTACGTGTAGCCGTATCCTCCCCCCTGTGCTGTTTGGGGTCGGATGACCAGCAAAACAATAGGATTGACTCTGAACACAATTTTAACCAAAGCACACTTCTTACAACAATATGACCGGTTCACTCTCATTTCCCATAGTCCTTATCGCGTATATTATGGAGTTCCTTATGGCGTACATAGAACATAGCCCCCCAAGGGGGTAACGGAACGAAGAGGACGTCTATAAAGTTGTCGTCCTAACTGCTAAAGGTCTCTACTCCTTGGGGGGAGGATACGGCTACACATTGGGGGGGGGGGGTTGTTACAATTTTTGGAAAGCTTACATTAGTGAATACGTAATTTGTGGCATCAAAACATGGTAATCTCAGCTGATTTTCAAGTTTTCTTTTCTAGTGTACATCAGCGAGCTATGATGGCATATGTCATTAGAAGGAACCTCTTCGTTTTCAGGGCAGGGACAGCTCATGAGCCATTATTCACTTCTTCGTATATAGAAGACAACAGTAAAGAAGGTAGGTAGTAATGTATTTACATTCAAAAGAACTAAACCGTAAGTGGCAGTGACAGAGAATGTAAATATTTTCGTATTGGTATGTGAGCACGTGAGCCGCTATGGTATTAATTGCGTCTTCTGTTGTGGGGCGTCTATCAGGTTTGATATTTGTACTGCATTCATCTCCGCTCTCGAACTTTTCAAGCTTTACGCTAAATTTTCTCTTGCATGTAATTTAGCCTGTTTCACCTCTAACCCTTAGAGGTTGGTGTAGCTGCATTTGGATGGGGAGTACGTTCCAATTTTTCCCAATGGCCGGGGTTTTTTGGGTTATCGTATCATGCGGCGGCACACAAAATGTTTAGGCCCGAGAATTGATTCAGTTGTAACTAGTTGTTTACTGTTTTCTGTACCTTTGTCGGACAGCATTAGACACTCGGGCTCCTAGTTCGAGCTGCGCACCCACTCTTGTGTATGAGACGTGAATTAAGATAGGAAACTCTATTAAGGCCGTAATAATATGTGTCAGGCTTATTTCTAGTGGAACAGAAGGCCATAGTAACAACTACTGAAGAGCAAAATTTAATGGCGACTTTTATGGATGCTGTGAGTACTATACCAATTTATTACAAAGTCCGACGAGTGTTATCACAAAATGCGACAGTTATTACGAAGTGCGGCAGAACACACCTCCGCTAAAACTTTTTTCCTATAATCCTCCGATAACATTAAAACAACAACAGCAAAATCGGTAAAGATAGCATTTTCTTCTATTCGTTGAAATGAGCTTGCATGGCTTTACCGATAGCCGCCAATGCCAAAAGTTAATCGAGGATTAATCGCCTTTCAGTTTGGCTGGTCACAAATCCTGCTCTGTATTACCCTCTTCACCAAAGAGAGATATCAAAACAAGAAAACGAAGTTTTTCTATGGAAAGCAAATATTTCAGCCGACTCCGAGCAGCTATTCTTTGAAGGGCACCCAAAGTTTAGAGGAATCTACGTGATGGCTGTTAGTATAAATCCCACTTTGATTGCACAACCACAAGGCCGCAAGTTAGGGTCACATGTGATGTGCTACGTTTCTCCCAAAGCTGAAACTTTCTAAGATATTTTAGGGCGAGGAACCAACGCGGCAGTTGTTGTTCATTCCCCAGTCATTGTATAGAATCCTTTTATTCGAACCACAGTACAAAACAGGAATGCACTTAATTTTTTTTTTTTTAACGAATCGCCATATGCATTTGACGAGATGCTCCTCAAATGACATTTGTGTTTCCAGCCGCAGTCTGTCCTGCATTCTTTTTTTTGCCTTTTGTTATTATAGGGTAAAAGTGCAGAGCAATTAAAGGAAAACTTTACCTGGAAAAAAACAAAACTCGAAAAATGCAAAGGTGGAATGTCCCTTATGGATTTCGGTACACTTGTGACAGCCGTTTTGGTATACATGAAAAACCATTACCCAACCACACCTGATGAATTCAACTTCCAAGCTGAATTAAAGGCCGCAAGTCATTGGTATTGGCACCCAGGGAGTGAAAAAAGCCTGTACGATAAAGAGGAAAACTTCTTGTTGGAAACTAAGTATCCAGAACCCGCTCTGGGCCCCCACAAAGATCTTCGTGTGAAAATAGCAGCATTGAAAACCTGCAGTAAATGGGTCAGTGACCTGGAAGAAAAAAAGAAATTGTCACCACGTAAAAAAAATCACAGGATTGAAGAAGATGAGGAATATTCATCTGACGAGGATAGAAAGAACGAAATTGATGGTGTGTAGCTTTTACAATATATGCGTTAGTGTAAAGTAAGAACCAAATGTTTCTGTCCAATTGCATTCCGCAGGACCTCATGAGGAAATCGTCCGTGGTTGTTACATCCATGTAGCAAAAACAAGTAGAAATTTCATATTGCTTTGCCCGCTTATTTCTCTGTATTTACCATTTTTTGACAACCCAAAGTACAAGCTAATCATTTTTTCCATCAATTTATAGATCTCGAGGAAAGCATTTTTGATTTGAAGACGTACTTCGGTTTTACAGGTGGGCCCCTCCGTCAAGGTTTGTTCTATGTAAATCTAATCATCTTGGCCGGCGAAATCTTACAAAAAATGCTTGCCTATAGCCCAGTTTAATCATCAACTTTGTGATTCAATTATTGATATGGGAAATGGGGGGAAAAAAACTGTACTAATAACTTTAATCACTTAATCAGACTCTCCGTTCGCTAGTCTTTTAGTTTGAAAATCTTTCAGTCTGTCAGTCAGTCTAAAGTCTGAAAGTCTCTCCGTCAGCAATTCAGTCAGTCGGTCAGTTAATTAGCCAGTCAGTCAGTCAGTAATTTAAGTAGTCAGTCAGTCTATTAGCATACCAGACAGTCAGTAAGTCAGTCAGACAGTCAGCCTATCAATTAGTCTGTCTCTCTGTCTGTCTGAATATGAAAGCAATCCTCGCAGTGAGAAACATTACTTGAGCAGTAGTAGAAATGACCTAGAAAAAAGTTAGGTCTTTACGGGATTTGAAACCATCACCTCTGCGATACCGGTGCAAAGCTCCACCAACTGAGCTAACAAGCCAAGTGGGAGCTGGTTATTATGTTGGTTCGTAATAAAGTCGTGAAATGATGAAACAATGACCGAGAATGCTGATGTAAAAATCATATATTTGAACTGCGCTTTAAGAAATGAATACGAACAGTCTGTTAGTCTATCTGTCTGTCAGACCACCCATGTATCGTCGGACTACAAATTTGTTTGCCTTGGTGTGTGTCCACTTCTGCACATGCATACTATATTCTTTGATTCATTCCCAATACACGTACCTTAAATTGCAGATTTCTAAGTACACTTTATCTTTTAGAAAAATGGAAAATATTGTTTTGTTTGAAAATAACTAACGGAATTATTTTTTTAACAACTAGACCTTGAACTTGCCCAGACCCGGGCCCAGGTTCAGAGGATCCTTTGTCATCCAAGATGGCTGATCGGTTCAAAAAAAGTCATTGGAAACCCAATGAATATCACTAAAGACGTTTACCAATGAAACTTAATTTACCATACACTAATTCATTGACTTGCTCTGAGGAGGTATACTTTGAAATCTACTGTACAAATCAGTTTTAGCACAGATATCAGGATTGTCCTTTTTTTTCAGTAATTTCTATCATCGCATGCAAGTTCGCTATTTGAAAAAATCATAATTCTGTTGTGTAATTTTGATATTGTTTTTCTCCGCGTTTTAATTATCAAACGCATAATTTTGAAATAATTCCGGGATGAAAGAAGCAATTACCACTTTGTAATAGACCTATTTGCCTTAACGTTGGTAGGGTAAATTTTGATAGTGTTGTAAATAGTTTAGGAGTTGATTCTAGTGCAAATAGAGTAAATATTTCTGGTCACACGTTGCAAATATTACCTTTGAAAAGACACTTTTTTGTAGCTATTGTAATGCCAGCATAGAAAATTTTTTAAACTGTCGTACTTGTATAGTTCATAGCTAGTCGGTAAGAATCAGAGACGACAGGTGCGAGAAATTAAACCATTTTTAGTAGAATTGTTACTTACAAAAGAAAGGAACAGGTGTCTAGTTTCCCCTTAACCACTTCGTAGCATTTACGGGGGTGGGGGGAGTGGCGGAAGAGGGTAAATTTTTTCCAAACTATGCCCGAATTGGAAAGGCCAGGAGCCGAGAATCAAAAAGAACTTTAAAACAATAGGAACGTCCCAAGGTTAAATGGAAGGTGGAAATTTTCCATAGACATTGGAAAAGTTTATTAGCTCATTTTTATTACATTTTCAAGGAATTCTTAGTTGTGCAATTCGATTCAGAGCTCCACATTTAAGCTACACTCACAATAGCGATGGCCTGGAAATCTTGCGCCATTCCTTAGGAGAACTCCGAAGTTCTCTAAAAAGAGACCGAAGGAATGAGATTGTATCTGGTCATTATGAATTATCACTTTTAAGCCAAAAAGTGGTCAAAGTAGCCTTAGGTCCCTTGATTACTATTGTTGTTTAATACATTCTCAACAGTTTCAAGATCCAGTGAACAAAAACATCGATGATGCACAAAACATTTAATATATATACACTTATAAAATAAGTTTCACATATGGCTCACTTAGCGATTACGGGGTTAAATCCTTCAATAAACTACAATTATGCTATTATATACAATTAATACTGTTACCTTAAAATTGAACTTTTTCGCTGACATGATTATTAAACTTCTACAACCATAACATAAAAGGGTCTGCTTGTTTTGCTCCGAATCTTATACGTTAATCATTTACACATTTTCCTCTGTCCACCAAGGGCGTAAATTCCCTAAACTGATCCATTGAATTTTACTTTGCAATCTTCCATACGCGTTCCACAAAGTTTTCCTTACAAATTTCCTTCACTAGCAAACTTCCTGATGACAAGTCTCGGCAATAAGAGGACTCTTAGATTCTAAGATCTTCTTGGTCTGTCCTCAAATCATCGGCTAACAGCCCTTGGGTTTGCTTATTTGATTCGGACTATGTATTTTGAGGTTTTCGTTTGTTTGTTTGTTTTTGTGGTATATTTTTTAACTCGTTTACCAAATGACACATAGCGATTTCTGTTTGTTTTTTGACTCATACGAGCTGGTAAAATAATTTGGCTTATATAAATAATAAAGATGCCGCTTAAGAAAAAACTTTCGTAACTTTTTTGTTTTCTAAATCATAGGCAAAAGGAATCAGTACTCAATTTGTTTTTTTTTTTTTGCTCATGTGGAAAGTTTTGACTGGAAAACAAAACGTTCAAAATTTGCATCGCATAATAAAAGATGACTATTTCTTAAATTAAACCCAACCACCATTATGATAGGATGACCGTCGTTCATTTTCGCGAGGCAAATGGTATCCTTTTTTCCTTTTTGCAGTTTAAGTTCGTTACGAATTCTGAGAGTACATAATCATTTTGAATAAATTTATCAGGCGTGATACCACTGAGAGCAACAGGAGTACTTAACCGACGGCAGCGTTTTTTTTTTGTCTTTATGATAGAATCACATGCCTTGGGAAGCACCAGCTAATTAATAACAGACACCTCTCAAAAATGGCGACCAAAATAAAAATCCTTCCTTAAGAAAATGGACCTATCGTGAAAGAACATGGTCAAATCATGACAACATTCAGTGAGAGTTCCAAGTTAGTCGTTGATGCAATTCAAATCTTCGTAGACATCATATCATGAAATTGTTGATATTCACTTAAGTTTGTTTAACCGAGGGCCTCAATGGAGTGAAAGAAAAAAATTTACGACCAACGGTTTAAAGTTGTCAATTTTTACGCCTAACGGCTTAATCGTCTTTGGCCTTTAACAACCAACTCGGATGGCCCCGTTCAGACCCTCCCTTAAGAAGATTACAAAATAAATAATGAGTTCTTCAGTTCAGTTCCTAACTGGCATTCCTGTCCATGTGTAGCTTACATATGGTGATTTTAATTTTCAGCTACCATTTTGGAAATAACTCCTGAAAATTACCTCCACGGTCGTTCACGTCATTTTATGATTGCCTAAAAAGTCTGATTTGTGCGCATGGTTACTAGTAACAGCTATGGACGTTATTCATGGTGAAATATAAACAAATGAAGCCTCTTAAAAACTCCAAGTAAAAAATAGTACTATAAAAAAATTCTTTTGTTAAAATAAGAAAAAATTAAAATTATCTCTACCCGCGAGATTATTTCGCAAGTCAAAAGACCTTTGTCAAAGGATAATTGGAAGACATATCAGCAGTGTTACGTTATAAGAAAGTTTTTAGAATATTTTTTTCTCTAAATAAAAAATGAACTGATTCAGTCCTTCCGTTGGCTGATCACTGTGATTGTTCGAAATCTTTCATTTTAATTAGACCTGAAAGACTCTGCGATTTCAAAGAAATCTCGAACCGTTTCTAATTCTTACGTAAAGAAAGAACAGCAAGAAAAATCATCAATCAGTCACGTGATTGTTATGCTAAAGAATTCGTCTGTTTGACAGTTTGCTCGTTTGTTTGTTAGATTGGCTGTTTGTTCGTACGTTCGTTCGTTCGTTTGTTTGTTTGTTCGTTAGTTCGTTTTTTGTTTTTTCTTTTCTTGTGTAAATATTTTTTAGTCTGACTAAGGTAGCCTGACTGACATATCAAATAACAAAAACAGAAGCTATCCCAAAGCTGGTCTCCACTTAAAATTACAAATCAAGCGGTCTGATCAAGTCATATGCGAGCTCCTTTAAAAGCGATGCAAATCTGACTTTGTTTTTTCAGCGCAGTCTCTTGACAATGATCACCTTTTGCCATCTTTCTTTTCTTCCATACATATGAAACAGCTTATGAAGGAACATCTTATCTAGGTCCAATTCGGGGAAGGTGTCGTTCTTAGGCAGGCCCGCGACCAACGGCTTTCTCCATGTTACAGACATGCGCGTCAAGCATCATTTCGAGTTGATCACGCTCTGCTGTGAGGTATGCGATCTCCGCTTCAAGCTGACTATTGGCTGATTCTAGTTCCTCAGAGGCCTACAGACGAAACCAATTATATTAAATCAGAATCCCTCCAAAATAGAAAAATCAGTGATAATGACCAAACCCGATTCGAGCTCGTTTAGTAAGCTTTTTTGTCAGCTTACTACAAAGAGAAACACATACATTCCAGCCAAAAATGTCCGTGGATATAAGCTGCAGTTGAAATAGATCTTTTTCAAACATGCGGTCCTTTGGTGAAAATTATCCGGGAAGTTCTTTTACGGTGATACCTGTATTATTGAAAACTGCATCTTTGGATAATGAAATTCACGAGTTTTCATTGGCATAGCCATCATGGATTATGAGCCATAAAACCATGCTCTACAAGTGTGGAAAGTGTACGCATCAGCTCAAAATTAAAACGGATAAAAACTTATCTAAATCATGTATTTGTTTATCTATATTTTTAGGCGTTTTTTAATAATAAAAAAAAACTATTCTACCCGCGCTTGTTGGAAATGAGATGATTATAGCCAACAGCCGTTGGCTATCTATCATCTCACTTCCAACGCGAACTCGTGAAATAATTTTCTATTAAAGGATCCCATATTCAATGGAGACCCTGTGTTATACAGACATTGGCCAAAATCCCGATTTTTCTCCCCTTATTAAATGCAAAGAAGTTCTCTTCATCTAACTTTTAACACCTCCATTAAGTGGACACTCAAACTAAGTATTTTGTCACATGAAACCTGTATTAGGCGGAAAGCTTCAGTTAGAAATTTAAGCTCCTTTTCTTTTACAATTGCAGTTCGAGATTACATTATTTCGTTAAAACCTTTTTTTTCGGTAATAAAGTGTTATCCCATCAACCCAAAGAGCCTAGATTCACTGAAAGGTTGCCCGACTATCAATCTGCTTCAGTAGGAATTGAACAATTAGTATTTGTTAATTTGATAAAACTGCAATAAGGACTGAGACACGAAATACCACTAACAGGCATAAATTCAGGAAACCTATCCTAATTGCATATTCCTCTAGGTCAAAGTCCATGCACCCCGGAGTATTATGGGAGACGGATGAGGTTCGTTATACACGTGTGTACCTGGGGTCACGTGGACCAAAAAGTAAATAATGTCTTTGACTTTGTTTTTTCTAACTTTTACAATCATTATTGCGCTCAAACGCCTTCTGACCAAAAGAGTAAATTAGATACAAGCTCTTCATGCAAAAATCGTGGAATTAGGACAGCTGTTCCCATAAAGAACTGGAAAATTGTGTGTCTTCTTGCAGTTCAAATTTAGACTCGTTATAATCATTTCCCCAAAATATGACTAAGTTGATAATCAGAGATCCAAGAGAAGCTCACCTGTCTCAAGGTATTAACATGTTCTTTCCGCTTCATTCGACATTTCGAAGCAGCGACCTTGTTTCGCTCCCTCCGAAGCTTTCTTCTCTGCTCTTCTTCTGGCGTAAGCTGCATAAGAGGAGATAAAGAATCCCGAACGAACATATGTAGAGGAACAAAGAGGAACAACTAATGAAAAATGACAAACACAGTCAGGAAATTCAAATCACTTCATTCACCTTTTTGAGAAAACTGACGAGAAATCAGATAACCACTTCTTACATAAACATAGGTAATGAAAAGATCATGACAGGTTGTTTTCCGGGGGAGGGAGTTACCTGCTACAATGAATCACCTAACTGAGGTATTGCAATTTCATAGCATAGTTAATACCGTTATAAGCTTGATTAAAATGATCTTTCCCATAAAACAAGGCTTCTTTGCAAGCTAGAGGCCAGTTTTGCATTTCATCTTCCATTTGATGGTCTGTAGTCAATGGAAGTTTGAGATGATGAAAGGGAAATGTCATTATTGAATGACAGGTACCAATCCCCCCCATACCACCCGTCAAGAGCAATTGGTGCAAACTATGCAAACATTCAAACGCTGATAATTTTGGAAACAGGTGCAAACTGCTGAACAAAGGCCTTCCCGTGTTTTTATTGTTTGCAGTCACTCGAGCGTGATAAAAAAACTCTCTTTGGCGTGATAATTAAGTAGATGGTTGGTTTTGCTGAATCAAAACGATCTTTACTCAAAGCTACGTTGTATAGAGCGAAATGAGAAGCGTCCCAATGAAGTATTCTCAAATGGTCTTGTTTACGTTACATGATGATAGAAGGATTTTGTGAGTAATAAATTATATTCGAATAGCCTCTAGTTTTCTCGGAAATAATCGCCGAATCAATTACCTTCGAAAACCAGCGCTAATATGAAGGTATTTCACATTCGCAACCGTAGAAATATTGTGGTATGTAGCCAAAAATTGTCGAAAGTGCGTTAAATATTGTTGATGTGCGTCTTTCTTATGAATCGGAAACCGCATACAAGTTGATCAAATAATCCTCAGATTATTTAAGGGTAATTTGGTATCATCAACTGAGTTTATATCGTAAATTCGCCGCCGTAAAGAGTTTCAAAGCTGGCGTTTCAAGCGTTAGCCCTTCGTCAGAGCGACGTATCGCTAATTATTATCAACTGAGTTGATAATACCAAATTACCTTGTTATACTCTCCCACCGACGAAGCACCACTTTTTCTTTAGAAACTTACCCCCTTCACTCAGATTATTTTAATTAATCGCAATTCGCCTTCAGCTATTTAAGTCAAGCTTGTGAGTTTTTTCCCTTGTCAATGTGGATTTGGTTGAAAAAGCTCATGAGGTGATTCATTTCCAGTCAATCTACAACAACTTGTATCAGACAATGCACTTATTATAGAAACACGTGATTTTTTTTCCCGCGGACAAGAACGTACACCTGACCACTGACGTGACTACTGACGAGTTTCCCGCCATCAGATTCTGGTTTCAATTTTCAAAAAGAAAAATCTGTTATTGAAAAGTGACACGCATACGTAGAAAAGGCATGGAAACCTGGGTTTTTTTCAGTTTTGTTGAAGAAGGATAAGTGAAGCCCTACGTCCAGATTCGTCTCATCGCAAGAGCTTAGAATTAAAACTTCGCAAGGAAACTGGTTTTGCAGTGCATCCTCTCATATAAAGAAAGATCATTCTGGAGTGAAAACCAAAGTAACTGCAACAGCCAATCAGACCAAAGATATGTATGTTAGGCAACCAATGAGGACTCAAAGAATAGACAACTGAACGGCCGCGAGCGCGGGAAAAGGGACTGAGGTGAGCAAGACACAAAATATTTTATTTATGGCATCTGACTGGGACAGAGATTAAAAATATCAAATAGCGTAGTCAAGTAATAAACTTCATAATCTTCGAAAGGTTTCTGTCTTCTACAGAAGTCACTCACAAAAAGGGTTTGCCTAAACAAGCTTCAAAACGCGATGCTCAATGGTTTCTTAGCTTAACAAAGATTGTTACTTTGGACTGATAATTGACGACTGCTATCCGTGAATGATGTTTTGTCACAGCAGTATAACTATGTGAGAATTATTGCCTTAGATGTCAGGATAAATATAAATCTAATAAAAGAATCCTGAAATTGACTCAATTTTCCGTTGGCAAAAGTTTTGACAACTCAAAAGTAATCCTAAGATTCCATTGGACAATATTTTCTGAGTCTGATATTTCATTTTAGTTTGTAAACTGATTGTTCATTTTTTCCAATTTAATCTACCTCGCCTGCAACAGTCTGGTGCGTTGTGCCGGCCCCACTGTTTAACATTACTCGAGGGCAAATATTGGGTCCCAGTTAAAGTTGTCAGAATTTCACAAACCAATCACTCCGTCAATTTTGGTCACACCTTCTGCTATGCGCTTGAACTTAAAGCTCTTGGCTTATCGTCAAAAGCTGCCTTATATATCAGGTCCTATAAATAAAAATAATAAATAATGGGAAATACTTGTTGGTTCTTGGAATCTTTGGAGTTATGGTCGATCTTCGGACAGTCGAGTCCATTGGCAGCGCGTTTTGATTCTATGACGTATCTCAACTCCAACTTAACAGGCAGTTCTGCTATCTCAAAAGCATGGTCCATCACAATGTTACCGTCAGGGACTGGGTTCCCAACTGTTCGAATGACGCCTCCTGGTTCCATATAGATTCCATTACTTGTCTTAGAAAAGAAGAAGATGAACCACTTGATGTGTAATGACAACAAAATGACAACAAAATTAAATGATAAGTGGTTAATTGATCCTCATGGTAAATATAAGTCAATTGAACCCTCACTTTTTTTTTCCTTTCTCAAATTTCGCTCTCTTCAGCGTGAGCAACTTATTTAATTGTATTCGACTTGTAGGAATCATTTAGCTTGCGCTTCCCACTGGGGCGAGTTAACACGACAAACTTTCGATCGTTTATTCGACCGGCCATATTTGATTTAGAGTTAGAGTGCACTGTAGGGGAGGGGACTGGGAAAGGGGTGAAGTTATTTTTATTGCCCCACTTCCTCCCCTCTTCTTCCCTCTGACTGTCGCCCACCCCCCTTGGTAAAAAATGTTCTTCTCTCCCCAACCCTCTAATGCCGTAAAAATCAAAGATGGCAGCAATAAATTTTACCAAGAAAATACCTAGCACCCGCTCGCTAAGTTCACGCCTGCTCTGCAGGCTAGTTGTCATTTTGCATGATAAAATGTTCTGATATGTCGCTTGAGTGTATCAAGATTTCGTTTGCCTGAATTGTGGTTTGCTTGGTTAAGCCCGATTTCGCGAGTTTGATCTATGTAATTCTTGGTAAGAGCGACTTTATTTCACAAGCAAAAGAGCGCCTCCTGTCAGTAGTACTGTTTAACGGCCGTAGCATAAGTATACATAGTTCGTTTGCATCAATGTAAATTTAGTACCAAAATTAGGAGCTGTCGTTCAGAAGCAAAGGACAAAACCAGTTAAACTAATCTTATATAGAGAATGATACACGGAAAATTCATGAACAGCAAAAAAAGATACACTAGATGTCCCGCATGAAGTAACAGAGAGGATAAAAAAACGTTTCGCAATCCATGAAAACTATCTGGATCCCTTCATAAAGAACGTTGGCTCCGCATTATTTCCTACGCGTTCGGAGCGAAATCTCACAAAGCAATTGCTTTTTAAAATTTGCCCGCGAGCGATCTATTTCTGTTTCCTGTTTTGTCATAGTGCGACATTGGCGAATAATGAGATAAAAAGAACAAAGTGTCAATACAATGCAATTTTATATATTCCCTTGCAAAAATTCGCGTCCCCTATTCTCAGGAAATTTCAAATTCTCAAAGTACAGTTTTCGTGCAAAAACGACCTATGTTAGCTTATAAACGAAGACGACAAGGTCCCCGGGAACAGGTAAAACTTAAGAGATTGTCAGATTTCATTGTTTACAAACAGGTGGTAAATTATTTCGATTAAGATAAACCTGACTCAAATTATTCTTTTTCCTTTGAAAATAATGAGATGTCATTGTTTAACCAGCGATTTTCTTTTATATAAGGTGTTTTTAATATAACTATGCTGCTCTTAGTTGATATATCGTTTTTTAAAAACTTCTTTTGTTTTAGTTTGAGAGCGATCCAATAATTGCTATGAGGACCTTGTCAAAATACTTCCTCGGCAGACAACACCAGTTGTCAACTGACCCCTTATGGCCCTGCAGTTAAATACGAAGGTAAATATCTCGTAAATTGCTAAAAATGAATGGGTTTTTGACTCCCAGCAATTGACTGCAATGGCTTTCCAGCTTTACATTCTGTTTAAGAATAAAATTGTGCGCACAGTACTTTAGATCTAATAACTTCGGAGTTTGAGCTCCACAAGTCCGTGTTTGCTGATAATATTTGCGTGATATCATAAATATTACCCTGATCCAGGAGAACTCACCGGAAAATCCATTTTGTAAAACCGTCTTTTCGGCAAACAGCATGAACTTTCCACGCTGATCTCTCGTCTGCTTTCTTCGGAATCTTCACCGTTTTAAACAAAATCAATACTTACGCCACTTGAGAGATCCCCACGGAGTTAGGCTAACACTTATTTGGGACTGATGACATTATTAATATTAAATAATCACCTTGTTCATTTTAGCAAATTGACGCCATTCCTATCGGTACAGCCTCTGTCCAGCCAATCCGGGAAGAGATCGCGCGGAAGTCATGTTTAAAAACAAATGGAATCAAATCGAAAAATAACCTCTATTACAAATAAATGAATATGCTTTGTGTCCCTTCACATAGCGCTAACATTTCGAATTTATGTACTGCCTCAACTTTTGTGCGTGCAATATTAACACAGTTTCTCAAATCCGCTTCAATTTTTCCGAAGGACGAGTCTGAAACAAACCGTACCGAGGTTAGTTACTTGAAGAGTAAACCTTGTCATCCTTGTAGCAATAATCGCAGAGATTAAATCATTGAGGTCGCGCGAAGATCAATCTAAAATCTTTTTGAGATTTTTATTCAACACCATAGTGATTTGATCTAATTTTTAAGGATAATGAGAAGTCGTGGTTTTTGTGTGGGCGTGTTTCTGTGGAATAATTGGTGTTAATTACTACAGGTGCGCACAGTCCGCTGTTAACACCTAGATGACACGCAAGAGAAAAAAAAACGCTGAATTCGCTAATTTCTTGACTCGCGTAAAGCGCGCAATTCTCTTCTATTTGTCCTACTTCCAGCGCAGATATATTCCTTAAACATCTCAACAACAGGAGTAAAAGAAAATCATTTATAGCCGTGTTAACTTTATTGCTTCAAGATCACTAAAAGCAATCACATTCCCATCTTTGTGTTTCCTTATATCAGTACCTGTAAGTTTACGGTTCTTCACAGCAAGTGCCTCATTAACACAAATTACTGCTCATTTATGTTTTAAGTTGTCTCTACTCGGCGTGTAACATTGTCCCAATGCATACACCTGATAGCTTCTTTGAGAAGTGTCCGAATCGTCGTGTTTAACGTACCCAAGCAAACGAGTCCGTCCTATATGCTAATAATCCTTGTTTATATCGCTCCTGTCAGTTCTTTGAATGATTCATTCCCCCTCATTTGTGTCTGAAAAGTCAATTGCACTCTCAGTCAGAAAAAACTTCCTCACCCCTTCCCAGTATTTAAAAACTCTATACACCGAAAATTTATTGTGTGAAATCATAGAGTTTCCAGATGATCGATTGGTAATCGTGGGCGCTCAACGAGTGCAAAGAGGTCGCGGGCTCGAATCACAAAATAGGAATTGTTCTCAATTTGGCCTGGGCCCGAGTTTGAGATGGAGCGGGTTGAGAGTAACTCTCTAACTGGCTTGGGGGCCGAGTAACTCCTCCCCGGGAAATTCTGTTCGCTTTTTTTTTTTTTTTTTTTTTTTTTTTGCTGTCTTTTCGATTTTTCCCTTTGTTATCATCATTTTTATCTTCTTTTTTTCTTTTCTCTTTTTTTTTCTAAGCAGTTAGTTTTTTGGGTCACTTTTCCCTCCCTTTCGTTTTGCCAAAATTAGACGTGATATTTTCCCTCTTTTTATGCTGCTATTATTAATAAGCAGCAAGCGTGGATGGAATTATACCCAAGACAAGTTGGGGACAGAAATTAAATCACCTCTCAGTAAGGTGGGCATCAGAGTAAAAGATACATGCAAAAGTGAAACATAATTTTTGGCTGGAAGAGAAGGGGAGGGAGGAAGGATCATGAAATCTTCCACTGCAAAAATTGGGAGATCAAAATAACACTGTATACTCTGAAGGAAGGAAACGTAAGTGCTCTTAAGGGAGGAAACGTAAGTGCTCTGTTGTCATGACTAAATCCCCCGCTTCCTCCCCAGGAAATACTGAAATAATAACCAGTCCCTAAGGAGAATGTGCTACCTTTGCTATAACAGCTGAAAATGGTTAGAAGTTCTAGTCCAGTCTCGGATAAAGACGATAAACACTAGTCCCTAACTCCTGCATCTTCTCTGTAATGGTTACCAGGGACGTTAAAGAACCCACGCGCTTCCCGCAAAGAGTACGGGGAATGAAAATCCCGGTGTTGTGGTCCGGCCTTGTCATTTTTGTTCAGGCCCCCATTTGAAAAACAACCTTTTAAGTTGAACTGGGCCAGCCTTTATTAATATTACAAATGAAAAAAATTAATTAATTAATTACCAAAAAAGGCTCCTGAGTTTTATGGATAAGTTTGATTAGGAAGCAAACCCCAAGTCCTCAAGCTCAGGGAATATGAATGTTGCTAACTGTATCACTTCATGGATTGCTCTCCAATCATTCTGATTACTATTACGAAAGATGAATTCAAAGGCTACCGTATTGTAAGATGTAAAAGACTTTAATCTTGTTCTAAAGCAAATTAGCCAAAAAGCAAAGACTGCGAACGCTACTTTTAAAGGATTTAAGCTACATAAATAGTAAACTGCCTTCTAAGAAAACATCTTAAAAGTTATTTTTTTTCTGCAAAGTATTTCAATGTATCTTAATTTATGTCCATCTATTTCGTCCTCTCTTTTCCATTTACTTTTGACTGCGAGTTTGTTGGAAGCAAATAAATTGCAAAATAGCTTTGATAAAACCAGCCAGCATGTTAACATACGTAACTAAAACCAAATTTCACTCAAATAAACGCTCTCCGCACGTGTATCAGCGAAAATAATACGCTTGAAGTGAAATTGCACCACACGCCATACTATCACGGTACAGCGGCTCATCGTGTGGCTCCATCCACGCATGTGCACGTCATTAATAGCCCTTCATCTTGAATCGGTATATTGACTTATTCTTCCTCTCGATTTTGTCCTCTGTCACCAGTTTTTCCCTTCACGATAAATTGGCATTTAATCCAAGTTCGTGGTCATCCTGTGGAGTGTGGGAATATTTTGCGCAGCTGTGTGAATCCAACATGAATTCCAGCTTTTTTATTTCCGCTTGTAACTTGCTGATCTGCGCTTGAAGATCGTTGTTTTGATGCTCCAGCTCCTCAGAAGCCTTAAAGAAAAAATATCATCATAATGTCTGCTTCTTTTCGTTTTCAAGCTAACAAATAAAACAACACTGCTAGAAGGCTACTTCAAATTATATGGAGGAATCGATTTAGCAGTTCTGTAAGACCTCTGATACCAGAAAATTCAAAGGTATTCGTTCTTTCCCTTGCCTCTAAGAAGAGATTGTGGGCGTCTTTATCATATCGAGATCCAACTCTTCCTAAATATGGAAGGAGCTGAGTTGTGCTGCTCTGGCAGTAGGAGACATAAGCCGTAATTTTACCTCATAAGAGCCGTATTTATTCGATTAAGTACCCAACTTCCAATTAGCGACTATCCCCACCCGTTCCAAAAAAAACTTAAATGCACAAAAGGAGTATTGATTATTATTTCTTTACCGGCTTACAATCTCTAAATTCACCGTCTATGGTACATCAAAATAAACGCGAACAGCCTATGACTGAGCACCCGGGGCGATTGATCGAATAAATACGGTACCCAGATACCTCAACTAATGTTTTAACGTGTTCCTTTCTTTTCTTGCGGCATTTAGAGGCGGCCACTTTATTCCTCTCTCTTCGTATTCTACGTCGTTCTTGTTCGTCAGCGGTCAACTGCCAAGAGAAAAGTGTTCTGTACTCGCAAGAAGTTCATAAATTGTTCAAAACGGTTTTGATAAATTTTCACAGAAAAAACTAGGTAAAGAAACTTTTAATCAGCAAAAGAAGTATGACAAGGAAAAAGAAAACTTTTTCGAGGTAAAACCAATAGCCAAATTGCAGAGGGGTCTCGCGAGGGACCAAATTGTAAATAGCGTTAGCTTTACTTCTGACTGGTCCAGAGTGATGTGGAATGATTCCGTACCGATAACAGATCAAAAGTGGAGCATTTCATACCGTTTTGCCTTCGACATAAAAAGAAAAATTGTTACGACCCGATTTCGAAAATAACGCTGTTTTAGTACGCCTTATACAAATGGTTAAGAAAAAAATTCGTTTCCTCAACTCAGCCAATTGATAAATTATCTTTAAAAAAAAACTCTTCGCAACTGTTTACCTGGATATCCCTCACTTAAGGCCAGTGCCTTCATTAACGTTGATTTCGAGGCAAAATCTCATTTAAACTTACTACACGATCCTGTAGGTAAACTGGGGAATGTTCTTTCCCTGTTCTTTACGGTTACATTTATTCCTACTTGACTGCTCTTGATGATCATTTATTTACTCATTTACAAACGATATTTACAAAAAAACATTCTGTTAAAAAGACGAACTCAAATAAAAGCAACAATTTTACATCGTTAAATATGTGTTTCTTACTTTCTTACAGTTTAAGTAAAAGACTTCACGCTAATCCGCCAGGGTCTGACTTCTCTATCGATGTACAACACGAGGTAGAAGATTTAACTAGTGTTATCTAAACAGTTGAACTATTTTTCCTGGTAAAAAAAAACATGTTCCCTGCCTCTAAAATTCAAAAATTTCAGTTTAAAAAAAAAATTACTGCTCTTGATTGGTTTCAATCCTGATCAATTGCGTTATTTTATTGATTTTTCAAAAGAAACCAAAACCCATTCTTTGCGAGTTACTCTTTCTTTTCAACAACCTGTACTCTACCCACGTTTTTTTTTTCACACACCCACGTCCCGTGACAAACAGTCGCTCACCGAGAAAATGCAAATCACTTTCTAATAAAATATTTATTTTTTTCGGCTTTTCATTAAAAGCCAAGAAAACCAAAATCGAAAGAGTCTATTTGATATGGATGCAAATTTCAAATAAAGATCAGCTGCCCTAACGTGGGATGCACTGGAATACGATGACATAGAGCTGAGACCCTTTCATTCCTTCAACGCAGCTGAACATTTACATCATTTTTTTTTCTTGCTATCATGACTGGAGAAAATTACGAGAGAAATATTTTCATCTCTAACCCTGAGAGATTGCGAAGAGACCATTACCGGGTAACATGAATAACGGAAAGTCTTACCATGCAATCCTTGACATTCGTACCACGATACAAGCAGACTCCTACTCTCATTTCAGGCTGGAGTTGACTGTAATGTTTTGACATTGACCCTAAACTCCTGTGGCTTCTCAGTTCGTGCTCTAATTCAGTTAATTTTCATTTCCCTCCGTGAAATTAATCAGATTTAGCCTGGTAGGTTTTAGTTAATAAAATCTTCGAACACTCCTTGTCTTTCTCCAGTGTCTTAACATCACTTCAATTGCTCAAATGTTTCCTACGAATTTTCGCTGGATGAGTTTTAGTGACACTTCTCCGTTGTCTACTGATTGAATTATGTAATAACTGGAGACAGCAGGTAGAATTGTGTCTGAAAATGTCTTGATCCAAGCTTCGACGGGCGCATGAAAACCGGGATAGGTTTACTTGCAGTCAAAGTAATTTCTAACCAATGAAGGGGGTAAGTTTCCAAAGTGGCGGGCATTACAAGATAATTTGTTTTTGATAAACTGATTTGATAATGTAAACTGGCCACCGTAAAGAGTCTCTTGAGCTGATGTTTCGAGCACTAAACCCTTCGTCAGAACGAAAGACTAAACCAACTAATTGAATTTTCATTTTCCATCATTCTGGTCATTGATTATGATAATGAAACAAAGGAACAGAAACTGAATTTGTCATAACTTGGAAGTAGTAACGTAGCTTAATAGAAGTTAAGTTCCAAATGGTTATTATAGGAAAAGCATTAGCTCCTGGTGAAAAGAGGGATCTGGAAGGGGCTTGTAGATTCTATGATTTGTTCTTTTTCAGACTGGGAAATGTCGCTCAAAAGGTGGCAAGGTTAATAGTAGCAATTTTGTGGGCGAACATGACAACTCTGAGGAAACACAGATGAACAAGACATAGCGGATAACTTAGTTTACCTACCGAGTTCCACTTCTCAAAAGACAAAAGGAACTATAAAAGCAATTATCGAATTGCAAATTTTAACCAACAGCAAAATAAGCACTACCATTTTACCAGCCAATCTTAAAAAACTTTCATTTAGCTTGTTTTTGTGTTTATGAAAAAACTGAAATTAGAATATGGAAACTTTTCGTGGCTAAGGGTTTTCTGAAGCCGGACGATTTTAATCCGTCATTACTCTCGTGGTACTCGTGAATTGTACTGGCCTGAGATTTTCAGCTCTTACCGTACAAATCAACCGCTTTTTTACTTTAGAATTTGTTATTTTTCCTTCAATTTTGGACAACAGTCCATTCTATTAGAGCTATGTTTCGTTTTTTTTAAAAGAGAAACAAGAGATGATTATCAGTCCAAACTTTCTAGTAATATACATAAACTCTTAGATCGAATTCTAAAAAAAAGCTCGGGACCTTCTAGGCAAACTGATCTTGGGGTTTGCTCGTTCTGTGATCAGCATTTATAGTACCTACCGCGAGGAAAAAGTATTAAAAGGCCAAATACATGACTCTGCAACAACAAAACACCAAGAGGTTCGCACCTGACACTTCACAACCTGTTGTTTAAGCAATGATAGCAATTCAATTCCTTCTTAACAACTGGACCATTTAAAAAAAGGTTTCTTAACAATGAGAACTCATAAAATTTTTTCAGATTTATTTGTAATCATCTCGAAACTGCTGTGTTGCTTTAATTGTATCTAAGAACATTTTTAGGCACACGCTATAGATTTCTCTTAAAAAAATTGCTTCATAACAATTGCACAAGGTAAAAGGATCATTCAGTCGTTTTTAAATCCATGAGCTTCCAAACACGGCTGCTTCACTTCTTATGTGTTTGCGAACAAATATTCTTCATTCGGTGTTGTATCGCTTTTCCAACTCACATGTTGAGGTTCTCAAAATGTCTTAACGGCTGACTCATATTCCAAGGCGACAACGATATTTCAAACGTCGATTTGGATACTAAAACAGCTCAAATAAAGAGTCAAAAATTTTGATTGATCAAACCCCGCAACTTAGCCACTCACCCGAAAAAAGGAAGCTTCGAGGAATGCTGTTTACGTAGCTCAAGCAATCGTTACATAAAAAGAACAAGCGAGTCACGAAAGATCGAGCGAGTCGACGAACGACCTGACGAACGACTGAGGGTATGATCGAGTCAACCGAACGAAAAACGAAGTTCTGACGATGTCTCAAACGAACGTCGAACCAACCACCGACGTGAAAACAAACGAACTGCCGAACCGAAGAATGAATTTATTTAATGATTGATTATCTGATTGAATTAATGATCCAATGAATGACTAAATGAAGGATTGATTAACCACGACTGGAATAAATAAACTACTGATCGTTCTAAGAACTAATGTAAACAAACTGCAAAAACAAGCGATGTTCTTTCATATCATTGACGCCAGTATTGCAAAATTCGATGGTCTTGTAAACCGTTACTCTGATGATGACCAAAGAAACTTAGAGTTAGTGCTTTTCATGAAAACCGCGAGTCAAGAGCAATCCAAACAACCTCTTCGAGGTAAACAAGGAGGAGTAAATAATATTTGGTGCTAAGAATCCTTTCCCTGTGGAGCAAGAATTTCTAACGAGCAGTACAACTCTGTGAGTATCACAAACCGCTTCATTTCCATGGTCGTATTCAAAGTTCATCTCCATCATGTATTCCATATCAACGTCTTCCCCACCATCATCGACAGAACATCTTAGCTCCGGTTTGATGTGCATATCAAACAAATTCGCATTTGCCTGTGGAGTGCAATCCACCAGCTCTGATAAATCTTTCGGTGCTCCAGTGAATTCATGAATCATAGAAGGACAATTCTGTAAAATTAAAACAACCTCCTGTAGTTATTCGACAATCGAAAATGACAAGCATGCAAAACGCTGCGATCAGCGATTTTTTCGTGCGTGTACCGTTCCTAAGTTTTTAGTCTTTCCGGTAGCACTCATTAAAGATGAAAGGACTCTTCTGGTACCTGGTGGCTAACTCCTCAAAAACATTCTGTCAAACAACGAACACTTTGTGAACTCAACCGTGTAATTAGCGCCACCCCTGATAAGGAAGAAACGAGGCTACCTCCGAGATACTTGCGGAATTTTCTGAGCTGATGAATCAACACCTCTGCGGGGCATTAAGCGTCGTTCGTTCACGCTATATCTAAGATATGATCTAAACACCAGAGCGTAAATCACCGCTTAAGATCATAAATGAATTTTCAGGGTGATAGCTTCGAGAAAATTTCATGAACTCCTCATCTCACGATCACTGCAGCGAAATAGAGCCATACCTCGTCAAATCCCGGAGCAACGGGGACTCTTGCCTCCATAGGGGGGTCTTTCTCCTTTGCTAGGCCCCCGCTTAAGGGAAGCAAGGAGGCCTAAGACGAACTTTCCCACTGTCTCTACAATGTTGTCCCATTAACGATACCACTAAATGTGCTAAGTGTCCTTGATAAGGTCAACTGCGCTTTGATTGGTCCATTTACCGACACATAATTGCTCTTCCTTGGGGTTACGAGATACAAGAGCGATGATCTAATCTTGGTTCGTTGCTCTCTCCCAGAGCTGGTTCAAATGTAAAAATCTCCAAGAAAACGTGTTTTTGCGAGGGTTGGATATAAAAGAAATAATAACCTCTGCAGCTGTGTTAGGATGAAACAAAAGAGAACCAGTGGCAACCACAAGAAAGTGTAACGAACAAGGTGATTACATGACGGGTACCAGCAATATTTTTTTTCTTGACAATTCTTACACTTTCCATCACTTCTCGGACCCAGGCTCCCTGGGAAGCTTTTGAGGAGATTCTTTTATCCATGATAGAACTTGAATAAAACAGTGGCTTCCGATGCGAAATCAACAGAAGAGTCTCGTTTCATGAATTCAAAACAGTACTTTTGCAAAGTTTTTGTAGCTTCTTCTTTTAACAATCTCAGTTTTATCAACCGACTTCCTTGTAAACTTGAGCTTTGAAGAATTTTCGGTTTTTTGAATAAATGAGAAAGATTCCATGACTGAAGAAATTCTTTCAGACGTAAAAGTATGGCATTTAATCACCAGACGGTTGAACTGTAATGAGGGAGAACTGAGTGTGACCTTAGGCCATCAGCCCGGAGCCAAACTCCAGAATACAACATTTTGTCTTTTTTTTCTCAGTGACGAATTGGTTTATAAACAAGCTTCTTGTTTTGCCGTCTTCAAACCATTTACAGTTTTCTAGGATTCGCAACCTTTAACTATAAGCGATACTAAACTCTAAAAAGATAGAGAACAGATTTGATTCCAACTAATTGAATTGGATTACATTTAAGTTATCAGTCGAATTTCCGAGATCATTTTTTCTTCCGTGATTTGACCAGTCAAAGTTGTATTCAAAACAATAAGTGTATTTTGAGGAGAAAAGGTGACAACCAGACGACATCATGTGGTTCTTGATTTGGTGAGAGTACCTCTAAAAGGTTTAGAAAAGCCCTTTTTCCATTTTATCTTAATTCAAGGCAATGTTGGATAGTTTTTTTTAATGGACAGTCCTGATAGGCTTGTAGGTGTTTCAACTGAGTGTCCAAGATCCTTATTTTGTTTGAATGTTAAAAAATCGTTGTAGAACGGTGGCGGATGATCTCACATTCTTATCAAGGAACACAAGCCAGCCGCACACAAGTATATTTAATCCTCGAGGGAATCCTAAACACCATAATTTGATTGGTTCCCGAAACCGGTCCAGCCTTTGACGGCAATTTAATACGTTGAAGAATTCGCCAGAAAATGAAGAAGCCAAAAACTTCAATGTTTAGATTTCTCACACCTAAATTACTCATTAATCTTCGCACTTATACTCACCTTCTAAAATGGCAAGCAACAGTGTTGCAAGGAAATTTAAACAACGTTCAAATTAAAGAGCGACTTGATGGGTTTAACCGTAAGCAGTAAAACGGCCAAAAAATTAACCGTTAGGCGTAAAAATTGAAAATTTCAATCGCTAGTCTTTATAAAAAAAACAGCCGTAAAAATTTTTCTTTGAACTGTAACAGAAAGAATTTAACCTTTCGCAAAAATTGTAACCATCAGCCGTAAAAGCGATCAGCCCATTGAGACTCTTTTTTGTAACGAAAATTTGTTCACTTTCCACCTTTGGCTAACGTAGGTCAACGTAGTGTCAGTGCAAAATATAGCCTTTCTTTTAATGCAAAACTTGTTAGTTGTTGAATTTTCCCGTTTCCTTGTTTGGGTCCACATGTGAGCGAATTAATACACCCGGCTATTTTCCTTGGTTTTAAGCAGTAATTCTTGTGATGAGTCATTTGTCACAAGTACCGAATAAAGCGATATTTTCTGCCAAAACGAGTATGTTATGAAACAAAAAAGAGAGTTCCAAGTGGGTAATTGTTCGTGATCTTAATGATTGTGATGGTAAGCTTCCTACACCGGGACGGAAGGGACACGGATTGCAAAGGAAAACGTTTAAGCCGGATGGCTTTTTTGAGTTATTTTTTTACAAAAAAAATTGCTCTTTGTCAAGGTGTAGAATGGTATGTTGCTCGTACCAATCAGATCGCCGCATTTCGGTATGTATCTCGTACCAATCAGATTTCTGCGTTAGGGTATGTACCCCGCACCAATCAGATTGCCGCATTAGGGTATGTATCACGCACACAGCATTTGGATGTTTTGCACCAATCACAGCGTTTAGGGTATGTATCTTGGACCAATCATATCACAGCATTTGGATATCTTGCACCAATCACAACATTTAAGGTATTATCTTGCACCAGTCATATCACAGCATTTGGATATTTTGCACTAATCGCAGCGTTTGACTATTGTTTTCATGTAAATGATGTCATGGAATCAGAGGGCTGTGCACAAAGAGTGACATTAACGATAAATTTTGGGCTAATTTGACAACTGTAATGGTTTGTGGCCTTCGCGAGAGCCTCATCGATTGAGGTCGAGAGTTATCGGGATATGAAAGGTTCGCATTCAACCTTTTTGTATTATTTTTAATTTAAAACGTGTTTTTTCCGTTCCTTTACTCACAACTCACCCGCCAAACAACTTACATTCCATCACGTACCACAAAAACAACGTTCAAGTTCAATCAGAACATACCCAATCATTGCACAAGATGAACATTAGGCAATTTTTCACGTGCGTGAATTGTATTCCACCAACCAAATTACATTTTGCCAAATTATACTTCGCTCCATCACTTGTCATTTCCTTTCAAACAACCTGCATGTAATAACGTATTCCAACCGCATTGTCCAACCCCACTAAAAACGATCCATATGGAACAAAATGCTACTGATAGTGAATTTTCCACGCAATTCTCCTGCGTTTTGACTTTTCCTACGAACAAAATTGGCTTTTGGCTACCTTGGACTTAATCCAATTGCGTGTTAGTTCCTCGTAAACAACCTGCATTTTATCACGTATTTCACACACACAGAGGGCAAAGACCAGAGAGGCTTTCAGTTTCCTTTCCGTAGTAGAATAACGTGTAAATATATTTTTAAGGCAACCAACTGTATACAAATAATTTTAATTTTCTCCCTCTTAGAGGATTGGCAGTAAGCGTAGTCCCTTTTGCAACTGTTATTTGGTCTCGTCACGCAACGCTCTCTCTCCAACGGGGAAAAGATGGCGTTGTGTGACAAGACCAAACAATAGCTGGGAAGGACACAACAGTAAGCGCGGCACCGATGCATTTTATTTTTGCTTAGAAATATTTCGAAATTAGAGGCAGTAGACCACAAAGTACCTGTGTGAGTTCAGATACATTGCGTTTTGCGTCTTTCACTTAAGGTGAGGTAATGTGATCTTATCGTTCTTTTGAAAGTTATGCTCTTTTTCTGCTACAAAGATGAAAACACTGAGGTACACAAAGTATCCCGTCCCAACCCACGGTTGGTTTGGCCAACGAAAAGTTAGAAATTCATTGATGATTTCTGGATGTCGGGGATCTGCGGTAACTGGACTTCGCACAAATCAGGAGATACTTCATAGGACTTGCTTTCACTTGCCTGTCCCATGGGTGACCAATATCCTCACAACATCGATACAAGATCAAGCAGAAAAGTACAGGGAAAAATATCGAGTTGAAACAAAGCCAAATTCTCCGAACTAACCACACATGAATTGTATGGCAGAGAGTAAGGAGAATTACTGATGAAATCGCGATCGGGAGTGAAAGGGTTAACGGCTTCCGCGATGTGAAAGAAGCAATCGGTGAATCGAATGAACTTTTAAATCAATGGTTGTTCGTACGATCACCTAATGTTACGCACGAGTTCAGAGAGCTAAACAAATTAAAATATGTAAAGTTTATGTGTCTCAAATCTGTGATCGAAATTCCTTGAAAGCTCGATGAAGAAATGTGAATTAAGTGTCCTGACATGTCCACCATATATACCATCTAAATTTAGACATTACTTTTTGTTATTCATATTATTGCGTCGAAAACATGGCGATATTTTCCAATTAAGGTACACATTGAAGTGGCCTATTTGGAGAATCTGATCCGAAAAGGGACTCCCTTGAAACTAAAGACGAAGTTTCCTCTGTTTTTTTTCTCCCCGACGGAAACTCAAGTCAGATCAGAAACTGTATCAATTTCTTTCCTGTCAAAGATCACGTTCAGAAGGACATTGTTACTCTGAACGTGTTGAAGAAATCTTTTCTCAGGAAAAACGGGACAGACAGGACATTTCAGTGACAAAAAAAGGAACTGAACAAATGGAACATATTCGTTTTGTTCAAAGACAAATCCTCGTCGTAGAATTCCCATATCTTATTTTCTTAAAATGTTATCTGAGACAACTTGTGCCTGATACATATTATGTAACGAGCCGTTTTGTTAGCCTCTGAGGAAACAATTAATTAATCTTTCATGGAAAGACATTTGTTCTTGTCTTTGGTTGCTAAAATTACCATCCGTTCCAAGAAAAAACAATAAAATACCAATGTTGGTTATTTTGTGCTTGTGGCAGCAAAAAGGAACTTTGAAAAGCAGAATTTACCGTGTCGTTCCGCCTCTTTTTTATCCTGAAAGGAACTTGAAACCAAAGCGGAAAAATTGCTCCTTCCTTGAAAATGCACCTCATTTTAATCCAATTAAGAAATACGCGTGACTGCTGAGCGAAACCTAACCTAAGCAGGCAAATTATTTTTTGGATGGTCCCTTGAAGTTTAAAAATGGACTAGCTGCATGAAAACCACGTGGACGGTAAAATCGCTATGATATAATGAGGCAAAAAGACTTAGATTAGAGTTTTCTATGATGAAATAATTACTGTTTAGATTTAAAACAAGGAAATGTTTGACGAGCCTTATCGCTTTAAGTCGATGTTATGTAAGGAATTGTGTCAGTCTACGTCAATCTCTCCAATTCAAAATAAGGAAATGTTTGACGAGCCTTATCACTTTAAGTCGATGTTATGTAAGGAATTGTGTCAGTCTACGTCAATCTCTCCAATTTAAAATAAGGAAATGTTTGACGAGCCTTATCACTTTAAGTCGATGTTATGTAAGGAATTGTGTCAGTTTACGTCAATCGCTACAATTTGAAACGAGGAAATGTCTGTCGAGACTCAAAATTTAAAGTCCATGTTATGTAAGTAGGAATCATGTCAAATGTTCTCAAGGAATTTAACAATGGATGTACGTGACAAGGAAGTTTGCCTCGCCGTCTGCATGTAGTACAGCACGGAACATTTTCATGATCAGTCGACCTTATCGCCTGAAGAAGACTAGCAGTATGTAGTCGAAACGTCGCGATCTACATCACTCGTGACTACAGCGTGAGACAAACGGAAAACTCAGCTTTTATTGTTATTCACCGCGTTGAATAACCACAACCTCTTTCATGAAATTTTTAAAGAAATAATAGAAAAGAAAATTGGACCACATAAAGAAAATGCGGAAAAAATGCAATTCTAAGCGACCAGGAAAAAATTATGTAACCAACTCTTTAACTTTTACGGCACTTATTGTGATCGTGCAAGGCAGCTATCATGACTGGTGGTTTTGCAATTGTCCATTGTACCGGTTATCGATTTTTACGAGAACCACACTAACCACACTATGAGAAAACTTTACTAGACTACGAGGTAATCATGGCTACATTTCTCGCCGAAAAGATATATTTAGCTTTTTCAAGAAACACTGTCGTTCTCACTGACCATAAGTTAAATTTGAAATGCGCGTCCAAGACTGCTTAAAATAATTGTTAAGTCAGCGTTATTAAAAGTGATTTAATTTTTTCATATCGTCGTTGTCGCTGAGTTGAAAAACCGTCTGGCACCGTTGAAACGGCACAGACATTTTTGACTCAGCGACAACGACGATATGGTTTCTTCAATAACGCTGACTTAACAATCATCTTAAGCATCCGTGTTAAATTTATTTGGTTATGGCCAACGACGTTATTCTTATGTAATTTGTAGTCGCCTCGTTAGAATATTTCTATCTTATGATGTTAATTTTTTTGTAATTTCCTTTCAATCTGAATGTAATTTTTTTCATCCCTCCCCAAAAAATACGATTCGGATTGTCGCAAAATAGCATCTTCGACATTAGCGAGGACATTTGTCTCACGGACAGATTTAAATTTCAACGCAGAAATTTTTCCGGTGCTTGTCAAACAAAATTCGAAAACAAAAGAGATTAACTTTGAAAGAATGTTATCGTGGAGAATTGAAAACTCTTATCCGTTTCCCTATTAGTTCATCAACGCATTATTTCTCTATGACGTTGCTTAAACTAAGTTCCTTTGCTCTTTTACTTCAGATAATTTTTATCCAGTCGCTTGTTCACGAATTCACTCATGGAACGCAGGAAAGAGGAGACTTTCAGTAATTTTTTCGTAGTACTCTGCCGCCCTACGGCGAAGGATATGTATCGCAATTTAAGACCGCAGAGTACGTGATGTGGAAAAGGATGTAAAAACCAGCCACGTCACGACGAAGGAATGCTAGTATTCACTGACAGTTTTATTTTTTTTATTCATTTTTTTTTTTTATCATTGTGGTCCACGAAGATCTTTTAGTGGTACCGCTAAGTTTTGCTCAATAAATTAATTTTCACTCCTTTCATTCAAACCACACTAACTCTGAAAAATGTTGCTGTCACACTTTAGGACATTAACTATCTCTGACAACTAACTTTGACTACATCACGCTCAAACTGCACTTTATTTTGACTCGTTACGGCGGAAGAACAACTCTATGTAACGGAAACACAACGTACTCCTAATTAACGTTTTATTTACATAACAATAAAATAGTTCATGGCCACTCTCTCCCCCGTCAATCTGTTTTCACTAATAATTCTCGATCCTACATTTTTCAATAATATCATTTAATAAATACGTACATGTCCTATTATGATTACTTCTCCTAAAATGAATGTTTTTTTTTTTCGAAACACCTCTACATTTAGTAAAGTCGTGAAGGCTTTTCATAGAGCCGACTGAATTTCCACCCAACGTTGCGTTTATCATCTATCTTGAAATTATTTCCTATGTTATCTACAATCATCCAACATTCCTTCTTTTTCGGTCTTTCTGTTTCTCGTCCGTTTTAAACTCTAAAACCACGAGCGACAGCTTCACGAAAATCAATTTCCTTTCTCGCAACCTTCGACTATTTCTCTGTAAAAAGAGTTTTAAAATATAAACTAGACGCGAAACGAAACGAAATCAAAAGCAAAATAAACATGTTCCAAGACAGTGAAACAGAACTTAAATTTATCATATATTAGTCAATCTTTCTTTCTGTTCAATAACTTAAAATTATTTCTAAAATCTCTCATTTCTATTTGACAAATTGAATGGGATACAACAACTGATATATCCTTCACTTTTCTCTTTTTCTCTTTTTCTCTTTCTTGCCTAATAAAACCGTAGAGGATTTCATTAACCAAACTTGTTCATCGTGAACGGTTAAATAAATTAGTAAGTATAAATGTCTTTTTCACTCAGTAGACGAGTTGTGTTTATGCTTTCCATTTGGAGAGCAATCCATGCAATAATATGGATACATCGCGTGGTAATCAAATGCTTTGATTCCATGAGTAACTTTAACTCTGCGGATGGATATCCAACGAAGGTTGCACCAGTTTGTAACACGCTTTACGTACATGTATTCCTCATGCTTTTATGGAATCTGGCACTGGACTCGTAGGACTGGATGACTCGTTTGATTTTGCCATTTCCGCCGAACAGGAATGGGGCGACTTAGCATCGCTGCCGTGGTCTTCTGAGGTGGTTTTATTACCATTCGACCTAGAGTCCTTCAGAATGCAGTTATGGCTTCGGAACATACTCTCTAACTGTTCCTTTTGCGCCGTAAGGGCCGCCAGTTCTTTCTCCAGAGAATCCCTCTCAGAGTTCAACTCATCACTCTCCTACAGATGAGAAGAAAAACAAAAAAGTCCGTCAGCGAAGCTTTTCCACGAAGCTGACATTAAAATACGAGTATCTGCTTATCATCATATTGAAATACAATATAAGGTTCGAAACTAGGCATTGCAGAACTAATAGGAATATATGAAACTGAAATTAATCGTACATGTTTACGTCCCATTGAGCTAACCAAATTTGCGCGAAGGATGTTATCATTCGATCATTACGAACGCATTCAGAAAAATATAATAGTGAAGTACTAACGAAAGTAGTGTTTTGATCTTCTTTTCGATTGAAAACACTCAACATCGTCGCTCGACCCGCCCATGTTTGATTGATGACGAGGAAATCAGACGAGCTGTCTGCGATGTTAACCTCAATAATTTTAATAATAGCTATAGAGTGTTTTAATTACTTTCTTATATATCTTAAATTACAATTGTTTGTTCCTTATGTTATTTTCTAGAGAATTCTTTCGAGTAAACGGGGACCACACCTATCCGACACCCACGAGTTCGGGATATGGCTCACAATTCCTCGTTCTTTTTTTTACCAAATTTGGTTTTATAGTGGGCATTAAGGATAGCGACAAGCGCACGGAATCAAAAAGTCGGAAATGACGTGGAATTATTTTTAAGGTAGAGCCTATTCATCACTGAGATTGAGGTTCCGTTGATAAAGAAAAAAATTCTCCCTAAACCGGAACTGAAACGGAACCATCATATGATCCACGTGACTTGAACAGGTTCATTTCCGGTTGGGAGCGTGACATGAATAATAAGTTGTAAAAATCGAGTACTCACATCTTGAAGCTTCTGCATGTGTTCCTTCCTTCTTTGCCTGCATTTAAAAGCCGCTACCTTGTTTCGTTCTCTTCGAATTCGACGTTTCTCTTCTTCCTCTTTAGAAAGCTAGCGAGAAATGAAATCAAGAGGAAATTATTTTTAACGTACGTGACCTTGGATGCCACTCAAAACACTTATGACGGAAAACCACAAATTTAATAGCATAAAGATAAGCCACAACATTACGTTTTATTATGAATTCAAACGCGCGTAAACTAAACGACAAGAATCACGCAAAGAATGTAAAACGCGACATTTAAACATACCACTTCAAGTCTTGGTTTCTTCGCTTCGATTAGCGGCATTCCATCCAAACCTTGGGCAACTCTTCGCGTTTTAATTGCGTTCCGAAGTCCCACTTTCACCTCGTCTGCTGCTCCACTACTCATTGGAACGAGTTCTGTATAACTGGCATCTTCACTCGATGCCTGTTTCCGTAGAGAGCAAAAAAAATTGTTTAGTAAAATATATTTAATGTCAAATTAACCATACTTGGTTATATTAAAGCGAGCGTTGAAACGCACGCAATTTCGCCCACCTTTAGAAAGAGGTACAATGCTTTATCAAAGCGAATGAAGAGTGCGTGATAATAATTGTGAAAACACCGATTATATATTTTAACGTAAAATATTCTTCGAAGGAAGCGAAACATTCGACAACAACTCAATTCCATAGGGTAATTTTACAATAAATGCTTAGGATAAAATTGCTAAGTCAGGTTAAAACACAGTGTTTGTTAATACGCACTAATAATAGTATTCTGACCTAACATGATTGATTCAGTGTTTTATAACAAATCTGAACGGTAGAACTGCAAAGAATGTCACTTTCCTAGAACTGGCAGATAAAAGTACCGCAACCGTAAGAGAAAAAAAATTTACGATGCGGAGACATAGATAAGCAAAAGTTCTGTATGTAAATTTCTGTTACTGTCGTAATCACATCGAACGATGTGCGATGCAATATGGCTAGCAAGCAGACTTCGCAGAATTAAGTCTAAAACTAACTTAAGCGATGTCAAAATCCTACGCTTACAATGGAGTCGCTGTCAGATTCATCCAAATGATATGGAACGGGCATTTTCGCTCCTCCAGACAAAAAATTTCGCTCGTCGCCAGGAGTTGTGTCCATAGGCAGAGGCAGATTCAAATGTGGCAGCAACATCTTGTTAGATGATGCCTTATTCAAGTCGAGCACGTGGGTGTAGTCAAGCATCAGACAAAGATTTACTTTTCGCGCCTGTCCAATGGTGTTTTTCCCTGATAAGGCTTGTTTTGAGTTGAGATCACCTTTATTCTGGGAAAAGCCCGAACGCCAAGTTATATATTATTCGATTTTCCACAATGAATTAGCATACATTACAGATATTCTAAAAATAGGGAAAACGATAGATACGTCATGCGTCATGTGCCAATCACAAGCTCGCAATTTTTGCTCCGCTATGGAAACATCAAACAAATAGAAGACTCAGAAAGGCCTGGTAAATGCTTTCTGATAATCAACCCTTTTATCTCCGCGAATTATTTTCCTTTTCTGCGGATTCCTCGAACTTTTTTGCTTGAATTTGAAAATAAAAGTTCATATGAAAGGGATTCGTGACGTTCGAGAAGTCTTTTTTTTCGATTTTAACAAGGTTTCAGCGTTTTCAGAAGCATCACGCCGAACAATCTGGAACCTCAGCGGCGCGTGACAGACGTAAGCAAATAAATTATTCAACGTACTGGCCTTGCCCTGCAGATTAGATTGCGAAATAAACATTCTACGAAGCACGATCTGCCTTCAACCGGCTGATACATGTTCCATTTATTCTTCAAAGACGTATATTTTTGCTATCCGTCACCAGAAAATCGTAATTTGCGCAAGAGATAATGGAGAAGAGGTATTTCGCAATAGTCTGGAATTGATATACAAAATGTAAACAAAGGTCGGTCCGCAGAATAATGGAACAGAACGCAAATGAAAAAGATATACGACTAAATTGAACACAACAGCATCGAACTTGATGTCCTTTTCGAGCGAAATCAAGCCCAGAAAACTGGGTTTTCCTTTTTTGTTTTTAATTTTTTTCTCGTTAATTTTTTTCTTGTTATTCGTATGTAAGAATAGACGTCATGTTTGCATTCCCTGAGTTTCTAATTTGCAAACATTACCCATCTTATCATATAATGAATTATCTCTTAAAATGTCGGCAATATCATGAATTCATTCACAGTTCACTGTCAAAAGGGGGAAATAGGCAATATTTTTGCAGGTCTGCGGCGACGATCGCAGGGGATTCCTTGTAAATTGAAATTAGGGACCGAACCCGGAACTGAATAAAAACTCAATAAGCGCGTGGGCAAAAACCCACGTAATGACCCTGTTGTTGCTCAGCAAGCTACAGCAAAAATTCTACCATGACTCAGCCAATTTTCACAAAGGGATACCCTGAAAAACCTGACTCACGTTAACCTTTGTTAGATGTTATTACTCATCTCACTTCAAGTAGTCACGTCTACACCATCTGAGAAATTTCCCTAGTTCGAAAATGTCACAGAAGGTCATCAAGTGTTTATGAATAGCTATCTAAAAAAACCGAATCTCCGAGGATGATTGTGCAGTTTTTGTGTTTATCAGAAGCGATCCTGTGAAAAAGCTTGTTTTCGCAAGCGTAGTTTATCTACGCAGTTTGCTAGAATTCACCAGCTAGTGACGCCAATCCTAAGTCATCACATGCATTTCGAGTGTTGTCCGAAGAACGATAATGACGTCACACACGTGAAAGTTATCGCATTTACCGAGTTAGAATCCGCTAAAAAACCTGATAGTAAAAAACTTTTAAAAAAAAATTGTTTCCTGTTTCCTACGGGAACAGGAAAAACTGGCGGTCTGACATAAATCCTTTTATTTACTTCGGAGGCTAAAAAGCTGTTAGGGCATCGTCTCTGCCAAACAATCACTTCATATGAATCTACCTGTAATCTCTTTAGATCGACGCCTGTTTAGCGGCAGCCTAAAAAATCATATCATTCAGCACCTAAGCAAAATTCATACCTAAGAGATGGTAGATATATATTTTGGAGAGCATATCGAGGTTTTATTTTCATCCGAGTGAGCTCTGATTGCTGTTGATCCCTGTTACTCTTATTCGAGGACTTAGTCTAAGCTTTTAATAATTCCATCATGAAAGCGAGCTACATTGAATTTAAGTGTTTTCATGTCTTTTAAACCTGCCCTCGTGAAATTTCGACGCATGTGTCGATTAAAACAAGCATTCAGCATTTAGTGACTTCTGCACTCCGGTTTTTGATGCCCCCCTAGTTGTCAAAGGTTTCCTTTTAATCAAATCACACAGAAGACGGATGGAAAAAATGATCTTTGAAACTTAAAAGACTGAAGGGAAACAGACTGCAGTGACAACTTTCAGATGCACTGCAATTTCGCCAGATCATTTTCAGTGTTGGAATAACGTCAAAGTTACTTATGTCTCCACATAACTGCGTGCGTTACGGCCACTGAGACAAGCAGTAGTCGCAGCGGTTTATTACGTCAGCTGCAAAATTGTGAAATTTGCAAACTAACTTAATGACCCGCTTTCCATGCTTCATCTCCGAAAAATCGAAAGAATTTCACTTCTTTGCGTCATCCTTGATAAGGTAGTTTATTTTTTGCGATACATTTTTCTCTCTTGAGCGATAAGATAAGTCAAATCAAATTTTTTAAGCAAAACTGAGAGTTGCTGAGGCAATAGAATTGATAAACTGCAGTTAGCGCGACAACTGCTGTCACTTCTGGAGACATTTGATGCAAAAGTCCATAAGCTGTTGATAAACAGAAAGCGACCTTGCAAATGACGAAGGTAGTTGTTTTTGTTCTTAAGATTTTACCGATGGATTTCCATTCCTTTCGCTTTTTGTGACGTAATTATATATTTCGATTTGACAAAGCAGAAATCAATTAATTAGTCGCGGTGCAGATTTCACGATGACAGGGTTCATATTGCAGATCTATTAATAGCTGTATCAGCGAATCTTCGCCCCGTGACCGAGAGAACGCGTGCACTATCTTCCTAACGTCCTCGATTTCTGTCCTCATCCAAAATAGTCTCATTACAATGTAGAAATGAAAAAGATCATGCGAATGTGCTTTAACATACCTCCAGATCTCAAAATTCCTACATCGTTGGCAAAAGGATTATAAACAGTGAAGCATATTAGATTAGGGCAGATCCAAAGATAGACAAAATAAATTTCCCGCGAAGCTTTTGTTGTCAGACAAGTAATTCCAGCCTTTTTCGGTAAAGGGAATAGCAATGTTCTGGGCGTAAGGTCGTATAACAATTGCCAAACTTGTCTCTGAAATATGAGTACCGTAATTGGTATAAAACATTGATGCCTTAATAGGGAAATACTGCGCCTTGCATGCAATACTTAAAAAAATTTTAAAAGAACCGTTAAGTTTGTTAACCAAAAGGTCTTCAATGATCAAAAAACGTGTATTACAGAATGTTAATTGTGTGTTGTCCGAGCAAAGAAGGGGTTTTCAAAGAGCGAGTGTCTATGACAAGCCAAGCCTGCCAATCTCAAATTCGTGCCAACTGCGCAAAGGAACCTTTGTCCTTTTAAACCGCACCTAAAGAAGTGGAAATTATTTCATCAGCCTGAAAACTATCCGAAATCCTTAAATAAAGATCTTAGAATACACAGAGTACGGCTTTCGAAATTCATTATGCATATAAAAAACATATCTGCGTTTCGGTCCGCTTAAGTCACGCCATCGGCCGGAAATGGCGTGTGTGGAGATGGGACTGTTTCCACATGCACTTCCAAGGCTATTAATAGATTAGGGACGCAAACTCCAAAATTGCGTATTCTATGATTTTGCTGAGATTTAATATGACTTTATTTAGTACAAACGTTCACATCTTGCAAAAACTGCTTAATTTCGTCATTTTACGGTTATAAACACCTTTTTGCTAAATCGATCAGCTGCTACAGCTATCCTCGAATAATCCGCCGGAAACTCTCCCGTGAGTAGCGAGTACACGAGAGTGGAAAGCGGTTGATATAGGAATCATTCTTCCCAGAAGAGCAACCTGAAAATCTCTACCAGTCCTTAGACTTTCGTTTCCCTCACAACTAAATCTCCCTGATTTGGCTGTACCAGTCTTGAGTCATATTAAACGGCACGGACAGATCGATGTCTGGAATAAAAAACCTCATTATAAGAGTCTGCTAACCGGAATAACTTGCTAGCAACCGCTATCTATTTTTAAAAAATTATATTTTAACCCGCCTTTTGTTCGTAGGAGACATTTCATTTCGGTTTACAACAAGAACAAGGCGTAAGTGCGACCTTTCAAGTTTAATACAAGTGAGCAGCCGGCTCGGATGTCCAAAGGCTTCGTGTTTACGGGTAGTTTTCCCACCAGAGTGGTCCAAGACCACACATAAACACATCAAACTCCTGTCACAGGAAAGAGTAGTCCTTAGCGTCACGAAATCGCGAAAACCGATCAAGCTAAGTTTACTGTGTTCATATTATGAAGTCCTGAATAAAACTGTTTATGTAGTGGATGATATTCTCTCTTCTCATAACACCGAATCTTTTAAATATGACCCCAGCTTAGTTTACTGGGTTTATATCATGAAGTCCTGAATAAAATTGTTTATGCACTGAACGATATGCTCTTCCCATAACACCGAATCTTTTCAATATGACGCGCAAGCAAAGAAAATTATCGTTTAATGTCGTTTACGGTGGGAATATAATAATTACAACAGAAACCATGGGCAGACAAGAGAGTTAATTTCCGCCTTTTTGCCATCGTTTGAAGTACACGTGGGCTGGAATCGAGATCATTCCTTAACGCAACGCTGTTGATCAGTTCTCTACAAATAGCCTCAAACAATGTTTATGGCTGTTGTTAGGCGATTATTTTATTTTGGGCACTGAATGCATTGGAATGAAGCGTATGCGGTGTATTGTGCTGTGTCGTGCTCGCTGAAAGCGATAATTATCGTCATATTTTGCACCAAAAATAAGTGCATTCGTTGTAGTAACACCATGATGAATTACTCTGGTACGATAGAAAAAAGCAAGAGTGGCATTGATAAATGAAGAAGAAACACGGATGGCAAAGAATGAAGAAGATTGAATCAGATTACAAATGACAAACTTAGCTTGGAAGATAAGGTCTAAACGCATAAGGCGTGACATAGCCGGCTATTTCAGAA